GTTAGGATAAGATGATTCACCCAAGTAAATTTTCGTGTAAAGGAATCAGACTGTCAACTAAATCTCATTCACAATGGGACAGAATTACTTGGTAAGCTGCTAATTGTAACCCAAAGAGTATAAAATGTTTAAACAAGCTAATCTTTGCATGCGCTCATCTAAAATTAAAGGATTACAAAAGTCTAGACAAGGAATCTGATTACGTGCGATAAAACGGGCAAAATCTACCTCATTAAACCCAGAATAGAACTTACAAGAAGTACATTAAGTTTTAAATACAAGAATATCGGGATAATGTTTTGCCAAAATCTAAGTCGTCTCACCAGATTAGTTAAAATTACCTGTGTTCCGTTTCTACGACTTCCAGAAGTTGAACAATGTTTGGATGGCGAATCATTTGCATAATTTTCGCTTCTCGCCTCATGTTCCTGGCCACGTATTTGTCTTGATGAGCTAGCTTCTTGTCGATTATCTTAACAGCAACCTACAAGTGATGAACATATCAAACAAAATTAATAAATGGTGAATTGCTAGGATATTTCTAACTGTATGAGCTTTGAATATTTTACACAGATAACACCGATCCCACCACCTTAGCTTTCAATGGTTTTTGCAGGATAAAATCATTATGGAAACTTCTGCTACCATTAGATTGGACGCTTGTCGGTAACCATTTATAATCCTGGGCAGAGAGAGGTATTGTGATTATACATTGTTTTTCCTTAAGACATAGCAAAAGAACCCGAAAATTGACCCTGGCTGGAAACCGGACATTTCTACTAAGTCCAGCACAACGATTACTATAAGGTCACCAACATGTTTCTCTTTTATTCGTCGTTTCCTTTATTACAAAAAAAAAACTTAGGAAAACGAAGAGCCCTTGGAGGAAAATATCCCCACAGCTCGAACCAGGATCAAAGTAACTTATCCCCAGAAATGCCTTCGGAGCTTCACATTTTTCACCCGAGTTCCTAGATTAACGTGGCTGTCAAGTCCTCGGAAATCCAATATTACAACCGGCTTTGGACCGCAGCGCCGGTCAAACAGTTACAAAGCTAATGGTTTTAAAATATTTCAAACACTTTCCGACTGACGAGCTAACAATGAAAGAAACGTTCTCAAAGAAAGATGGGGTCAGTTATTTTGTGGACCGTTGAAAATTTCCTACGAATTTCTCAGAACTTGCAATTTTGATCTCTTAAACATAGTTTTTGAACCGCATTGGGGTTTCTCTTGTATTTTTACCAAATTGTCTCTAAGTCTTATTTTGTTTATGACGTAACAAAACCTAGTGTATTTATACTGTACTTGGGATACACTAACACTGACCCGAAAATTCTGGAAACAGCGGATCTGAGGTATAACTGCAGCTGATACATTGAGAGTTAACAGTGAAGAGTAAAGCTACGAAGACCAACGAACTACTTTAACTACGCTTACAGGAGCCACGCACACCTGTCAACAAGTTTTTCATCTATGAAAAAAAAACGAAACAAAACAACGAGGGAATGTCGCGGCCTTGCTTTCGTTCAGGAATTTGAAGACTCAACTTTCGTCATATCCGAAGCACGAACCATTCATTTACGACAAAGCACATCAACCTTACAGGAATTCAAGATAAATAAGTGACACTTCAACATCCTGATTAAACACGATTAAAGGTTGGTCCTTTTGAAGGGGCTGACAGCTTTTGAAATCCAGACAGAATGAGTACACCTTTTGCAAAATGGTTCCTGCCCATCTTAGGGTCACGGTAATTGAAGGTAAAAAAAAAAAAAAGGAAAAAAAAAAAGAACCTCCGGTATTCATCATGAAATTCCCTCACCATGTTTAGCGTTTACTTCTTGCGGTCGACTCTGATCGATGATATGATGAGTTCCGCGAGGGTGGTCGAAAAATCAATCTCTACTGCAGACAATAGTCCTTCTCAGGACTACGCTTACCTGGACGATTACACAAGAAACTCAAATGTTACTCCCGGGTTCAAACCACCAACTGTATAATAAGTAAACAGTTAACTTCATTTGAAACTAAGATATTTCTTTTGCCCTTAAAAAGAACAACTTTTTCCAAAGCCACCAGTTGGGCAGATATGCCAGATATTTTAATTGCAAGCTTTAGTCCTACTTCTTTTGCATTCAACATTTAAGCAATCAAGATATAACTTTCTCGAAACTTTCAAATTATTTCCATTAAATAACGAAAAGCGAGTTTGCATTTCTCTTTTGAGTCTTTCTTCAGTTTATCTCCCTACAAGCAAAATAAGACCGATTCAGTTCCAAGCAAAAACTAAAAATAATTATAGAAACTATACGTGATTTTCGGCGGTTTCTCTCTTTGCTTAGTTCCATTAACCACTTCAAAATGCCACAAAGAGCGGTATTCGATCTTGATTAGCCAGACTGGCGGCTCAATATGTCCGGAAACCGAATCTGCATTTGTGGTTTGCCGAATTTCTGCACGTGGAGGAAGGTCGCGTGGGTCAAAAACGCGACATTTTACATTTCGCCCGCGACACTCTTTTTGGAGATCGTTCTTAACATTTTTTTTTTCTTAACTCGAAGTAATTAATATCCAAAGTATTGTGCGACTACCCTTGTCAAATAACTTCATACCAAGCAATCGTTCGAGCGATGTTTGATAAAAAACTTACACATTTCATTTGTAAAGATATCCATAAATATCTACCTGATCCCAAGTTCGCGCGCAGTTGTGAGGAATTCAGTGTGAATTGCAAATCCAATTAAGACCATTCACAAGCACAGCTTGAATGCAATGCATTCTTTTATACTTCTATATTTTTTCGATTGACGGAGCTCAAAACAAAGTTCTATCTAATCTTGCTGCACCATATGGAAGACAATTTTTAGATTTCTGGTTCAGAGGTCAACTTTATGCAACATAGTCTATCGCAACAGAAGGCAATCAAAGAGTATTAACCCGATACACAATTTGAAGGCTATTTTTTCATTGAGGGAAATCACTTTGTTATACCTGTTCGGATCGATTATTTGACGATCATCAAACCAAACGATAAAATTCCACTGCCGATGAATCGCGTGTAAAATCTACAACCAAAACAATAGCTTCGACAAGATTTCATTTGTCAAAGACATCAGTTTATACACAGGACAACCTTAAGTGCTATGTAATTACTCTTTAAACTTACTATTCTTTTACAAGAACAACCTTTTCCTTCCTGAATATAATCGTTATCATAATTACTACAGTCACAAGAGTAAAGCCTATATCCAATTTTGAACCAAATTGCATCACGACATGATGTGCAGTTTGCCGACAGTTTTTAAAATAAAATTTTTTCTTTCTGGTTCCGCGCTATGCACACAGCAAGATAATGACTATCACTCGCTGAGTGATTTGAGAAGCTGCTTCTTCTGAATAAGGAGAAGTAAACTATGGTTGAGGCGTGATAAATCTCAACTGTAAATATAACACATGACTTTAACATGCTGCTACCGCAACAGCGGGCAATATCAAGGAGTCACGGATGAATTTGTTCAGTTTTTTTTTCCACGAAAATGTATTTAGAAGAGCGTAGATTATCTTTAAATATCTCATTTGTCTCAGGAGCTTAGAGTAGAGGAGAGAGAAAGTTCAGGAAAGTTTATCGTAACTCGATGATTGATATAAGCACGTGAAAGAAGAGCAAAATAGAAGACAAGTGCTGGAAATCACAGTGGACACTATTGAATCTTGAAATATTATGAACTCTGTCTGTATAATTAAAGTAACTTCATAATTTAATTTCAAGCGACATCATAAGTTGAATTTTTCAGCTATGGTAGGAAAACAAATGGAAAACGAAAGCAAAATGTTTTAAAAAAGCATAAGCATATTGATTTGATTTTCGCATGTGGAAAATTTGCATAAAGTCACAACAGATATTTTTTTCTTCCTCTCTCTCACTGAGACACTCTTACTGTTTGCAAATATGAACTAATATTTCCGACAGATTTCGCGCACGGCAACAGAATTTTGCGATGTCTTTACAAAAAAAATTATTTTTTAATTATTGCATTCCTAATCTTTCAAGCGTAATTAGAGTAGAAAGTCCCACAACATAATCCGCAGTTGTTTGCTAGTCCTGCATTACGAGGTTTATCGAAGAGTTCCAAGTAGCTTAAACACATAATTGTACGGAAATATAAATATTCGCCTAAAAATGGAACATAATGAAAGTATTCTAAATTTACCACCACGCTAGGTCTCCCAACTGTTGCAATTACAGGTTTAGCTCGCCGCGAAGTTTAGGCCTTGAGGCCGGCTCTATTTTGATTTTTGGTGTTGGAATAGATTACCTCGCAGACATCCTGATTTCCTACCTTTTCTCCCGTCAAGACATGAAACCCCTGCTTTACTCGCGCGAATGATCCTTCGCCAATGGTTTTTCCAAGCAGATAATTGCCAATGCGCTTGCATTTCAAATATTTTTGAAGTTCCTCTTTCGGGACTTGAGCGACTCCTGCGGGTAAAAATCCGTTCACTTGATCGCGGGCCGAATCGTCGTCGATTTCCATGTGATCTCGTTGTGTTGGAGGCATATCACTCATCAACGTCTAATTTGCTCTCTCCTATGACGCTGAAGCAAGCGCTAGAGATAATCATAAGTCAAAAATCCTTTTAGTTTAGTTCAGAAACTAAAATCTTCCATCATTCCATGGATTTCTCACGTTCAAAAGTTCAATGTAAAATGAGATCGAGAGAATGTTTGCCAACTGTCAACTTGTGACATGCGAAAAATTTCAAATACTCAAGATGATTCGTCCATCACTCCAAGTTAATTTGTTCGTAATAAACACAAGGTTAACAATTGAAATCTGATCAAGCGGCTCTGTGCCAGCCCGTGGATTGATGTGTCACTCAAGTAACATCATGATCGCGCGCGCGCACGATTAATATAAAGCACTTAGTGCGCGAGACATTCCTTGAACATCTTTTCAGATTTACGAAAGACAACGGAACAATGAGAGCTATTAAATTACCGTTTTTAGCTATAAGAACAAACAACCCTATTGCGTGTCTCGATTGCCCTTCGAGAAATCGAGTAAGGCGCACACATCAGCCATGAATCGAACGACTTTTCTTGCGTTGGTTGGCTTAATATCTGTGTATGGAACCGACGCCTTTCTTCCACCCGAGGAAGTTTCGCTCTCTCCAAAGACTTGGTTCCAACGAGATCTCCAGAGGTTAGAGGAGCTTTCTCTTTACAACTCACAGCGACGTCCCAAACCATTGGCTTTTAGCAGTGGGAAGGGGTTGGTGGCTGGAAGTGGAAATGCCCTTGCAGTCCATGCTGGAGAAGAGGCTCTCAAAAAAGGAGGCAATGCAATGGATGCGTGCTTGACGACTGCTCTCACAGGTAGGTAGTTTATACACATTAGTGGTTGATGAAACACTCATAAAAAGTTAGGCACAAATCATAACCATCCTTATACAAATTTTTCTAACAATTTTTTCGCTTCATAGTTTAAAAAAAGTTCTTTTTGGGACTTAAAATTTGGTCTATGCGCTTACCTGTTAGCTGAGTGCATTTGATCCGGAGATGAGATTTTGAGATCCGTGTTTCTTGCGCCATAAAACATTTTGTGTTCACTTAGGATCTCTCTAAAGAGGCTTAGCTATGAGAGGATTAGTTAATTGTTCGGTACACTACTTACTTACCCAACGTATAGTCTGTCTGTCTTCATTTCTGCACGAAGTAAAACCTAATTGTTATCTTTTGACAAAGTCAGTACTCAGAGAAATTTAAAGACTTGTTGGTGATTTTTTTTTTTTTTTTTGGTTTTTTTTTTGTTGTTTTGCAACATGGATTAAACAAAACAGAGATTGTTTGAATTTGAGAAATATTTCAGATAAGAGTCTGACGCACTTTGATCGATGGCTAAGAGCTACAGGCCGCTGTAAAGCACGTATATATGTACACTTAGAGACACTTGACCAGATAAGAACAGTAAAACGTCAAAAGTTATCACGTTTTAACGAAATCATTTTCCCGTGAGTTTCCACTTGCCGGCATCACTTGGTTTTTCCCCCACACAAAGATATTATTGTCAAAGCGTAGATCTTTGTGGTGATGGCTTAAGTGTTTTGTGGTTTGGAGTTAACAAATGATGAAACAGTCTCTTACAGGGGAATCTAAGTAATAAAAAAGAATAACGATGACTCTGTTTTATCTCACGTGTTTTTTGGACCGAGAAAAGTTTCAAACATCTGCAGCGTTGTTCCTTTACTCTAAAGCACATTATGTTCCTGCACTGGTAATTAGAAATAAAAGACAAGTACCTTGAAGATAATTTTCTAAGCTGGAATTTTCTCGTGATTTCTTTTATCATTAGAACGTAAACGCAATTACAATTAAACAGACCACTGATCGAAGTAAATTGATTTCCTGGGCGTTATATAACTTAAATGATATCTGATTGATCAATCTGCAAGATTTAATTACAATCTCCGATGCTAATTTGCAAAACACATTCACGAGTCGTTGTCATACATCTCGGTGTTATATAACAAACAACAAATATTTACTGTGGATTGCCCTCGTCTCTGGACACGAGACACTCACCCTTCAATAGAGAATCAATTTTCCTCACTGTCGCCACACGTATTCAGTTACTGCAGCTGGTTACCGAGGGATCGTGGTGGAGGATAAAAGTGAGCATCTTGGTTCTTAAACATGACAGAGTTAGGATAAATGAGAGTTAGCTGGGTTCGAATAACTTTTTCTACCAGAAAGTAATTTTTGTAAGCGGAGGTAGACTGCCAGTAACCAGCCTTTGTTAAAACCTCACATTTAGGATAAAAGACAAGAAAATCTAAGTTTTCCTCGGAATCCGGAAAAACTGAAGACCGGAACAAAATTTGCAACTGTGTTGGGCAGTAGCGACCAGAAATCAGGATTGATGAGTTGCAAACTTGATCATTTAAATCCGGTTGAGAGGATATGAAGTTAAGTCGCAAATTTTCAATTATTTTATTTTTTCTCGTTATTTGGAGTTTCTGAAAACTGTTGTCGTTAATTGGAAGGAAACTCCTTAAAAATTGGTTCGCAAGGACAAACACCAAAGTTAAAAACTTTAACGAAACTTAAACGAACTGAGATTATTAACCCTGATTCCAAAAGCAATTCAAATAATTTAAACCCCAAAGATGACGTAGCACAAAGGATGGGGTGACGGCGAATGTTAGCTTTCTTGGTATTACAAATTGCCTTTAAACCCGCGATCGTGCAAGGGTTTTTTTTTTTTCAGTTTCAGCCCTTTGACACGATGAACAAATTATCGTGTCAAGGGAACTTTATCGTAGTTATATCACCAGTTCATTAGTAAGATCATCATTCCGCAACTTCTGCGGATTGGCTCTGGTAACTCCATCTCGTGACTAGATGTCAACGATTTCTCTGAGATCCCCAAAAACACGCAACATCTTTTGCAGATATTTTTCTCAGTGAAAATTGCATTTAGAAATACAAGTCGACTTAACGGCTTTTGCACATGGTCCTCTATGCTGGTCTTATTTAATAATAACTGAAATTGAAGTTCGGCGCTGAGGCCGGTCATGTCTCCTTAATTCTAGCCTACGGAAGCTACTTTAAATGTACAGTTTTACATGGACTTTTTCTGAGTCACGTCGTCTTCAGTCTAAAAGAACCAATCTGGGACTGATTAGCTAGAATATTTGCAATGTGATACTAAACGATGGTACTTACGCGGCAGATTGTTTCGATTAGACGCAAATAGGGACCAAAATAAAGTGACATAAGAAAGAATCAGTTAAAAATGTTGTCTCCGCTCGATTTACTTGTTGCTTCAAAGAGACACGCGAATATTGTGCGCTTTGTACAAACAGAGGTCTTTTTTCCCTGAGGTCAGTAGCGTGGGTGAAATCTGTTTCTGGTGACAGTTTTTGGAAAGGCGTTTCTCACGAAAGATAATCGATAACACGGTGACGATGAGATATATCGATCGTTTCGTTTGATTCCTGGCTAATGACATGATTACTCAGCGGTGGCCTTCACTTTCTCAGTAATTAACGACCTTTAATTTATATGAAATAAATACACTCTCGAGAAAGACATCGAGGAATTTATCCGTTTATAAAAAGAAACCAACCATAGACGGGGGATCCCAATAAAAAACCAGTTCATGTCCAAGAAGAGTTCTCTTTAAAGAGGTACAAAAGTATGGGCCGTGCCACAGAGTGCTTTCAGCCCCCTGTTGGCTTAAATTTGCACCTAAGACAGGAACATGTGGGTTTGAAATCAGAAACTTAGCAACATTTTTCACTTTCGGGCATAAAGACGCAACTTTATTCAAGCAGTTCAACCGGGGAACGACAGATTTGCTAATATTACAGAGAATAGCAAAATCAATTCAAAATTGAGCAACAGGATCGAAGGATACACACTAATTCTTTAACTTAAAAAGTGCCATATTTGATTGATTAAGACTTGCAAGATTATCTGATACACAATTTTTGCAAGAGGTATCATCGACTAAATTTCTGTTCGGTGCGTAAGTCCGTGGACGGTACTCAAGATGATTTTGCCGGATTAAGGACCAGATTTCATGTGCAGAGCATGGCTGGAAGCAGGAGAGCATAAGTTCTCACAAATCGAACGCAGTCAAGTGACGAACAGATTAGCGTTCTGTGTTATTGATTTTTCCATCTACCAGCCAACTCCCCGGTTTCGTTCCCACCAAAAGCTAAATTTCGTTTGCTGTTATGTGAAGCTTTGTCAGTGAATTTCACTGCTCTTCTAAGAGGTTTTAAATGGTTCCTTGAATTATCCCTTTTGACAGCTGTATATGTGGACACCAGATATTTTGCATTCGATGTTCATTTGTCAAAAGCCTGCCTTATCAAACTGAAGTTTAATTAGGATCATGAGCAAGGACAGATGAACTTTCATTTCCAATCATCGGATTTTTCTTGTAGCCAAATGTACCAGCTGATTATTTTTTAAGTCTCATCGTTGAAAGAAAAGATTCCAAAGCAGTGACCGACATCAAATTTCCAGTACTTTTCATAGGTTTTATTCCTCACACACTGTAAGCACGTTGACGAGTATAGCTGCAAACCCGTGGCTATTCCGTAATCATCCCGTAACCATCATGCCGGTCTCTTCAGGCTGCTAGCGCGAGCCCATTTTCTGGACAGCGGTTGGTAATCAAGCTTTATTCTGATTCAGGTTTTCATCCACAATTTAATATTGTTTCATTTTCTACAGAGATCACTCTTGCAGCTGGATCACACGTGTCTTATGCCGGAGCAGCCAACATTTTGTACTATGACAGCTCCACTGGGGTCACTTACAACCTAGATGCAGGCTGGAACAAGCCTTACTACGTAGACCCTGCCCAGATTCCTGAACATCATTCCGAGCTCGGTAACGGAGCCGCCGTTCTAGTACCAGGTCTCGTCGCAGGCGTCTCTACGGCCTCAGAGAAGTTTGGTTTATTTCCGCTGTCTAAACTGTTGCAACCGGCGTTGTACTTTGCCACGAGAGGATTCAAACTCCCTTCTGACCTGGCAGAGGAGATGAGGAAAAACTATAACCAGAGAGGCCTCCTGCGCACCAAGGAAGGTATGGCGTTTGGTTTGAAGCGATTTGTACAGGCGAGAGGATCTAGTTGTTCCTCCCTTAGTGAACGGTGTACTTAAGCGGTCAAGTGACCTTTCATAAATAAGATACCAAAAAGAGAAGGACCCTTACCTTGGTAAGACGTTTTAAGCTATTTAAAGTTTTGTTCGTAATTCATTTGAGCAAGGAACAGGACGTGCATATCCAGGCTGTATCTTCATGTGGAAGAATTTTTTCATCGGTTGAATTGAGACCGACAAAGTAGGGAACCCAAATACTCACAGCTTCAAATTGTACCTGCATCTAAAAACTAGGACTTTTTGTAAAACTTTACAAGTTTAAAGTAAACTGATGTCTTGTAAATTATCTTTGAAAAGAAAAGAACAAAAAGAGAGAAGGTCAATCACAACTTATATTGATGTCCTGTCCTGTAGGAGGGGGGCATTGGGATTTTCGATTTTTGCTGTTTTGGCTATTTTCAAGATCGCTTTCGGTTTTTGTGCCAAAAAACTTCGGTTTTTCGGTTTTGGTGTTCATTGCGGTTTGCGGATTTTCCGTATTTTAGCATTTGGTTTTCGGTTTTCGCGAAAAATATTAACGGGTTTTCGGATTTGGAATTCGATGCGGTTTTCGGTTTTCCTATTTGAACTATTTGGGGTTCCGGTTTCTCTTCGATCTGAGCGGTAATTACGCGCCTCCATTGATCTCGAATGGCAGCTAAACGCAAATGTTATCCAGAGGAATGTGTGACAAACCAATTGAAATATTGTAGGGATCCCTAGGTAGCCTACGTGTAGCCGTACCCTCCCCCTCAGGGTGGGGGGGGGGGAGGAAAGGGTACGGCTTCTCGTAGGGTACGGCTTAGCACAGAACATTGCCAAAGTTTCTTTATCGATGCCACCTCGAAGTTGGTGACCAAGTTACAGGCCTCACGTGACTGATTGATTCAACATTCCAATAGAATCTCCAAACTTTTCAGGTCTTAGTTCGCAAATGGAAATGTTAGAGCTATAGCTTTCTGCGACAGCAAAATTGTAATCCTATAGAGGATTTTTGTGCGAATTTACTTAATTTAATTAGGCTCCATTACCAGCTGCTGAGTCCGCAAAGACCACGATCGATGTCCTCGAGAGAGCAGCTGTTACTTTAAGCAGATACTAGGAGATACGAATGACAAGTTCATGGCATTCATAAATCCTCAAATGAAATAAGTGTTGTTTACTCTGTATGCTCCACTTATCACCACTGTATCGGATCGATCAGGGTTTTAATAACTGGGATGTGAAAATGTATCGGTTTTGACAGTTTTGCATGCGGTTTTCGGTTTTGATCGATTTTTTTTTCGGTTTTTCGGTTTTGGATAATTTTTTCTACGGTTTTGCGGTTTCTAATAGGCCCCAATGCCCCCCTCCTGTAGTACAACCTTTATAGTCGGTTTATAATGACTGCCATTTCTTGCTTTATAGGAAAAAATACTTTCACTAACCCCAAAACAAAGAAAGTCTACAAAGCTGGCGAACGATTCAGGCAACTTAAGTTGGGAAAATTTCTTAAACGCCTCTCCAGATATGGAAAGGAATACTTCTACCGTGGTCCCTGGGCTGAAGAAATGGTTGAGACGGTTCAACGTCACGAAGGCTACATTACGATGGAAGACATGACTCAGTATAAGGTGACGTCACCTGAGCCCACAAGCACCTTGTACCAAAAGCATCACGTGGTAACGACAGGTGCGGAATTGGGAGGCGCTGAGCTGGTTGAAAAGTTAAATTTAATGCAATTGGCAGGAATCGGAGAATCAACCGACTCTTACCTTACAAACGCCACAAAACTGTTCTGGCTAGCTTCCATAACACGTCTTAGTTCGTTTGTTACCTTTTTCGCACGAGAAGTTCCTAATGGAAAACAACTGCTCAAAGATCATCTTGGAATAACTGCCGATTACTCTTATCGGAAAACAAAGGACTCTGCTGAGGAGCTATGGGACAAAATCGCCTCATTTGAGAAGATGAAAGATGTCAACGACGTCATGCGAGAATTGCTGGCAAGTGTTGAGATGGACATGGAACAACATCGGCGCGGTTCGTCTGGCGTAGTCGCAGTGGACAGTGCTGGCAACGTTTGCTCCCTCTCGCATGGCACCGATGGTGACGCTTGGGGAACAGGCTTGTTTGTGCATGGAGTAAGTCTCCCCAGCTCTGGAATTGCATTGAAGACGCAAGTAAAGAGGACCAATAATGGTGGAAGAATAACGTCGGGATTCCAGCCTGTGATTATCTTTAAAAAGGAAACTCGGCAAGTCGATGAATTTGGCAGAAGGCTCAGACGAGACATTTCTGCAGCAACGAAGAACAAAAAGCGACTTGCCTCTAGGAGGAAAGGTTTCTCAAACCTCCAGAAGAACTGGGGAGAAGAGCCACAAAAACTAGTGGTTTTCAAAACGTACAATAAAGTCAGATCTCAATTGTTCCATCAATCGCAAGGAGACAAGTCAGAAAAACGTTATCAGTTTGGACGCGAAGAGGAGCCTGTAGATGAACTTGAAGAAAAAGAATATCCAGATGTTGATTCTAATTTCCGAACCAACGAGATACCTTCCAATTCCAATGAACCAAATTATGAAAGAGAGAGAACAGATCTACCCATGGAGGTCAATGATAAATTGAAGTCGCCAATGCATAGTGAGCCATACGTTCCACCAACTGAAGAACTCGAGGAGTTTGAGAAACCACATCTTAGATTACATCGTCATCACCCCAACGAAGAAGAAGATTCTGATATCAATGCAATTCCTAAGATCAGCCAGGGAGGGGAAGAAAGGGAAGAAACTGAAAAGGAAAAGGAGGAGAGAGAAGAAAGCGATAAGGAAGAGGAAATCATAGAAGAAAGAGGACGGGAAACTGAAGGCGAAGAGTCTCAAGATAAGGACGGCTTAAACAAAGAAGTCAAAGAATTTCCGCATCTTGGAATTCCCGACATGTGGAAATCAGGGAGTCTTCCGGACAGAGAAGCCACCTCTATGCTGCACTCTGGCCCCTTGGTGCCTGTGTTAGCTCTGACTTCCACTGGTCCCTCTCAATCATTTGTTATTCCGCAGTATTTAACAAACATTTTGGACAGTGGAATGAATCCTAAGGCAGCTCTGGAAGCTCCAACATTTCTGACTCCGAGTCCTCATTCTTTCCAGCAGGATATTCAAGTGGAAAAGTTTACCATCGAAGATCATGTCTTGATGGACGTTACCGAGTTCGGACAACCCGTGTCCGAGGTGGATTCTCAGACCACTGAGGAAATGGCTGGAAATGGAGCGGCTCTTACGGTTAAGGACGGCAGGAAAATGCTTGGCTGTACACATCCATCCAAGGCCGGCTTCGCAGAGGGGGTCTCGGCACTAGAAGGCTGGTGAAGGATTCGCCAATATGGAGTAGTCTCACGTCATCAAAGGCAGGATGCCTCTCTTTCGTTATTTAAGTCGTATCATTAACACTTTTCTTCTCGAAACTTATGATACTAAGTAGGACCAGCTCAACTTTTTTCGGGGTAGAAATTAATAGCCAGACCTTGAAAGTATTCGCCTGACGGCATTTTACTATTGTGACTGCATATCATCTTACTGACGATCGTTTGGCGTTTAGAACATTGAACAGCTAAGAAGTGAAAGAAAATAACAGAGAAACCGTAAGAAAGTTCATAAAATCCTTAATTTAAATTTGCAATGACTTCTGAAAAGTCAGCAAACTTGCACTACGTGGGGTATATTTTGACTTCAGTTTTTTCTAATTTCTTATTTTTTTGTACGATTTAGAGCAAACATTTCATAGAACCTTTTTTGTAAGCTCTTTACTTCACCAAGCAAATCGCGAGAAAAATACGCGAACAGCTTATTAGTCAAAGCTGAGTATCAAGGTCAGCCTGATTTGCAGACGCAGAGTAGTTTCTTCCAGTTTCCCAGGGAAAAAGGAAAGCCAAAACAAGATAATGCATTTGTAATGCTGTCCAAAAAAGTGGTCGAGGGACTCGCTCGTTTAAGTAAAATCGTTAATGAAAAATGCTTCTTAGCCTTCTTTTTTTAAGATTGAAACCCACAATTAAAAATACCTTAATAAAATTAGTACCGCAATTGTCTTCATTTTACCTTGCGATCAACAGCGTAGATCGATCTATCATAATAATTCTTTAAAAGCTGATTAATACCAAACAGACTTGACGCGCTTCTTAGTTAAATGGGATGTGCAAAATGAGAAAATGACCAGAAATCCAATTATTGTGTAACATTATCCCCCAAGCATTAATTTAAAAAAAAGGGTTTCTGTGATTTTGGCTAATACGGAGAGCTATTGGTTGTGGAAGCTTCGCCTAAAACATCATGGAGATTTCATGTGGGCAATGTAATCTCCCCTTCAGATAATTTAAGAAATTGAAACTGGATGTGTTCTATTCCAAACATTTGGGGAATTGTTTTAGAAATTCAGTGGAACAATCTCTAATTGTTAACTCTTTATTGATGACATTCTTGTGAGGTTACAAGGAAAAACGGCACGCTCATTTTTAAATTTTGAACTTTTCACCCTCTGAGGGCATCACTAAATGACTACAGTTAAACGAACGACGTCAGCAAGGCTCTTTCGTTACAGTCGTATCACTTTCTTGATAAGCCAATAATTGTCGATAAATAGATCTAACTACTTAGCATAATCTATGCTTCGCTTTTCCATTTCACGAGAATTGAGAAATACTTTCCCCGAAGCCTAGGACTTGCCATTAAGACTAGTTACGAGAGGCTGACAGGCCGTGCTAGGACTTTTGTCAATTGCGCACTTAGGCGAAAAACAGTCTTTCAGTCAGTTAGTCGAATGGTAACTTATCAATTACTCAATCGATTAATCATCTAATCCTATTATCTTAAGTTTCAGAGCTACTCAGATGAAAAAAAATTGGGTAGTTAGAACATGCTCATCCGAAGGATTTTTTTATATCGTCAAATTTACGATATGACGCTTGTTGGGTCGTTTTACCCATGCAGTAATGTCAATAGGATTTCTCAGCAAAGTTTACACAAACTTATAGACAAAGCTATCGATGTTGTATTTTTTGTTTTTCCAGTAATTAGCAAACACAAGGTATTGCTCGCCTTCATGAACGAAGGCGTGCACTCCTCGAGCACCCTGTGTTTCCAAATCTTGGTAGTGAGTGAACTGTGCGCCAGAAGCTTTGTACACAAATGATTTGCCTTCGTTATAATTGGCAACAGCGAGGAACACGTCACCATTCACTTCAAACAGGCATAGCTCCATGGCAAAACGAGTTGGAATATCTTGAAACAAGGTAAATTTTGAGCCATCCCATTTAAAGAGAGGTGATTTTGTGCTGCGAGAACTTGCGAATCCGAGAAAGACATGGTCACCAACTTGAAAGAACTTGGTACTAAAAGAACCGCGGGCTTTCATTGTTTGAAACTTTAGAAAGTGACCTCCTGACCACTTATATACGGTAGATTCCGCGTCATGGTTTCCCTGAGGGCTACGTTGGTTGGCGAAGACAAGATATGTGTCGTTAGCGATCACAATTGAATCACAAGCCACTCCTCCATGTGTTGGAAAGTTCTGGTATTTTTCAAATCTTCCTCTTTTCCATTTATATAGTGAAGAGTCAACTGAATGAGTGCTTCTATCATGAAATTCTGCAACAGCCAAGTAATGGTCTCCATCGATCGTGAAAAACTTAAAGCCAGACCCACCATTGGTTGGAAACATCTGGAACACTTCAAACCGATGTCTGCTCCACTTGTAAATGATTGAGTTGAGTTTCCAGCCAGTTACGCTGTCCTCTCGGTTTGCGATGGCCATGTAATGCTCTTTATCGATCGTAAAGTGCTCGATGTAATAACCACCGCGGGCTGCCAGCGTCTGGTTTTTAATAAATTGCCCGTTCTTTATCTCAAAAACAACAGACTCCGCTTCATGGCCAGCATTGTCCCCATAATAGCTTGCAAATACCAGAAATTGGTCATTACCGATCCAAAACGATTTGACATCTGATACTCCTGTTGTGGGAATTTCTTTGAATTTCTCAAAGAAGTGAAGGCCTTGTCGACACTTCGTTTCTACAAGTGAATGGTAAAGATTACTGAATTACATGCTGTGAAATCATTGCAAGTGACCGGATCACATAAATATAAAACATAAACACCTTTATTTTGACACGATAAGAGTTAAAGCCTCAAAGTTTGAGGGGTCGTGTCTGCTACTGAACTAAAATACATTACTTGAAGTATATACATATAAAATGCTAAATACAGAGCTAAGAACAAAGAATTAATCTAGGACGTTAAAATATTAATTCAACAATACCGCTGTCACAGAAACAATTTCAAATAAACCCGAAACAAAGTTTTTAGTCAAGGGGACGTGTCTGATCGGTTTTTGGACTGACTGGGAAGGGCTAAATTCAAACGAACCAAAAAAAATCCAGAAAACCGGGAAAAAGACGAGCCAAGATAGCGAAGAAACGATTTAAAAGAATAGATGAATTTTAAAAAGTACTTGGTGAAGCCATGACTAATGAAGACGTTAAATGCACGTGCACTTCAAAATAAATAATTGAATCAATCCTCGAAGCTGACCTTTATCGGGGCGTGTCAGCTGCTTAGATTGCTGAAATAGGAATCATAAAATGGTTCTTTTAAACAGAGGCATAAACAGAACTGTAAAAGTAATTGGAAAATTATGGAAGTAAAAAAAGGAAAAGAAATAAATAAAGAGAAAAACGGATGAAAAAGTGAACGAATAAACGTAATCATATACGCCATTGAAGTAAAAGCGTAGTGTACCTTTTTAAATACAGGTGAAGAGAACACACACATTTGAAAGTACAACTAACTTGTGTGAAGGACTTAACCCTAAATGTCACTCTAGATTTTTTGTTATAAAACTAGTTCAGGTTCCTTTCATTTCCGAACAGGCACGCATTGTTGGCATTTATACTTCGTAATAACAGAGGTATGTTATAATGGAGAAAGATCACAAAGGTCCTTGATGTTGGTATGCGGCATTTTCTGCGCTCTAAATTAAGAAAAATGATGAAAATATGAATTTCTTACGTTTCTGAGTGTTCCTAATTCTTGAGTTAGCTTTTCCAGCTTTGACTTGATCGCCTCAAGTTCCTGGAAAACAAGGTCACGAGCCGGTCTGTCAACTGTTAATTGATTTCTCTTTAATCGCAGAGGCAAAGTAAATTTCGCGACTAGATTTTGTAATTTCTAATAAAAGATACTTCACGAATTTATTCTTACTCATCGGAATTTTTTACAAGGGTGCCGCCCAGTTCCATCTCAGAGCCGGCAAAAGATGTTATTTTTCACACCCGTTTTTAGAGTTGAACTCTGGAATTTGTAACTTGGTTTGCGATCTTTGTAGCACAATTGAACCAGTATTAGTACCAAATAATATCTTCCCAAAGTTCACCTCGAACGATATTTTGGTTACTTTTTTTAAGAGTTATTCATTTAGAAGTAAAAAGACAAATACGTTGATAAGTTTTTTGAACGGCCAAATCTATACCCTTGTTCAGACTACAACGGCTTAACTGACCATTTCCCTTTGGAGCGACAAGAACCCGCCCTCTATGGGATTGCGCATTACACGAACTTTCGGCAGTCAATGAGAAATTAGATTTTTTCACAATACACGAAGGTTGAATATCAAAGAAAATTGTAATGTTAAAAAATGCGAGTGCAATTTTTTTTTCACTCTATTTATCATCAGCCACTCTCAGGCAGAGTTTTATCCGCTCCGAGTGCAAAAGAAGGTACTGCTTTTACATACTTGTACATCGCATACTCCCGGTTCGCCTTTCTGGCCAACTGTTCCTTGATCACCTTGGTCACCCTGCTCGAACAAACAAACTGATCAGACGGTACGCAAAGAACAATCAAACGAGACCCACAAATAGACACAAAGCTAGATATGTTGACCTAATGGCTCAACTTAAGAGAGAGTACCACTTTTTAAACCGTAGTGCATTACCACACAGAAAATTGAACAATCAAATGAATAGGTAAGCGAATACATAGATATATAGATAGCGAAGTAGGCAGTAATCGGGATTCACAATTGGAACGAAGTAAAACAACGGGATAACTGTGGATAAATATTGTAAACAGAAGTTCTGCGAAGTTACATCACGGACTTGCTCGGGAGCCTCTTAGTATTAGGAAAGAACCACATGAATTAAGCCAATTTTACAAGATAGCCAAGAATCTTACTCCAAGTTATCTAACTGAACTATTGCCCAAAATATCTACTGAACGTACACATTTCCGTCTCAGATCAAGAGAAAACTTGGCGAATCGGTGAAACGCATTTTCTTGTATTGCCCAAGGTATGTCGCTCAACGCAACATCCTTACCTTTGCTGCTAATATTCTTGGTGAAACATGGTCATCGAGCAGCGATGAAAGGAAACTAATTTTTTATTGTATGATGTTGGGTCTGTAAATTACGACATCAACTGTACTTTTTCTCGCGAAGTATGAAAGTTTATAAATAATACTAATCGCTTTTTGGTAGCCATTGTTTAATTGCCTTAACCCTTTAACTCCCATGAGTGACCAAGAGATAATTTCTCCTTACAATAGCAATACAATATCAATCAGATAGGTGTTGAGAGTAAAGAAAAATATCAATTTGGGAATAATTAGTTGATCCAATACTGAATTCTCTGAACTAACATTACAAGAATTGTATGGTTGATAGTAAGGAGAATTGCAAATTTGATCTGGGACTTAGAGGGTTAAATGATATATCCCTAGCTTAGTAAGTTAAACTGGATCTTATCACATTTGGTGTGTTGTTTGTGTGTTTGTTGAGGTGTGAGCCTGAATAGATTGAATCAAAATTTGTTACATTGTAATCCCCCTCGTTAAGCCGAGGTGCTTTTGGGGAAAACAATCAAAAGTATGTTTAAATTAAAAAAATCTCTAACCTTAACACCATCCCTTCCACTCAAGCCGTCTCTTCCTATGAGAGGAAAAACATTTCACCATAATCATTATCAAGCTGTATGTCCTTGAATTTGATTGGCACTTTTATTTTAATATAATAAACAAGAGAGAGAGGAGATGAAATCAGAAATCAAATGAAAAAGCGAATTGTAATGTTTATTTATCACATATATAGGTATCTTGAACTGACTGACGTATCACACTACAAATAAATAAAAGGAGTAAGTTTCTAAAGAAACTGTGGTGCTGCATGCGTCGTTGGGAGAGTATAACAGGGTAGTTAAGTATTCTCAACTGAGTTGATGACGTAAATTGGCCACCATAAAGAGTTTCAAAGCTGACGTTTCGAGCGTTAGCCCCTCGTCAAAGCGAGTGGAGGAATTGCGAGTTGTGTGTGTGTGTGTATGCAGAAAATGGAGCTACGCTACGCTATTGGTGGGAACAGGGTGACGAAAAAACAAGAATAAAATTAGTTGAATGAAAAGCGCTTATTGATACCGCGACATTATGTCTATCACATTACAGCTTCTTAACACGAAAAAAGGAAACTTACCATCACGCCCATCCCTTCCATGGCAACCACAGGAAACCTGATTTAAACAGAAGAGTTGCGTAATTTATGGTTTATTTTTTTATATTGCATTGGTGGGATAACCAATCATTAAGAGTAAATATGTATCACTATTTTAAAAAAGGAAAATCGTGTGTGGTCTTGTGAAGGAAGTTTCAATAGCTTTTGCAAATTGTGTTCTATCCCGACAACCTTTGGAGGTCTTGAACTTCAAAGCACGTGGGAAGCTCTAAACAGCTCATGCTCTTTTTACTTGCATTCAAATGTCACTTCCTTTTATGAGGGGGGTAAATTTTATTCTGCCAAACGCAAGGGGCGTGGCATACCTTTTTGAGTGGAATGCACACGCAAGTGCAAACAAATCGAGTGCGATTCGACCCAGAAAAATTCTGTCTTTATAAGTACGGAAAGCTGTCTGTTAACACTTTCTAGGGTGAAGTTCCCGGCATAAATATAATTGATACGAAATGTCTAAAATTTAGTAAATCATAAGATAATTAAGTCCTCTTAAGAGAAAACATTTGGACACCACCTTGTGTTAGAAGTTTTTAAATGTTTGCTAAGATAAACACGTGCTTTCCTGCGTGTATGGTCGCGACAACCCTAGACAACGACACAATTGTGGTCATAATAACATCTGGCGTAGGCGTAAATGACTCCTTTGATAAAGTGCATGACTTGAGAGAATGAATGAAAAAGATCAAACGAGGAAAATGTCTGACTTCCTTTCACTTTTAAGCATCAGTTCAAGGTTTTTGCAACGATAGTCTCTTTCTCAATAAACCTTGTATTTAATCCATTTGTGCGAAACCAGTCATATGGCGATGGACCTTTTCTGAAAATATTTCTGCCAAGAGATTCAGAATTGAGCACACATTCATCAACTGTGTTTGCCGAACATAGTGACATATCTCTTCATACCTTTACCGACTCACCATCCTAATACAAACGTTGCGTTCTAACGAAGCGAGGTGTGCAGTGTTAACAACTCATGAAATGCGCCTTTTAGATCAAAGGAACCCATCAGTCTCCATTCTCTCAGTTGCAAAAATAAGAATGAGTTTACAACTTTGTTCACGACTGAATTTGAGGTCGGAATAGATAGTTCCAGATACTCGAGGTTATTCACGGCTGATAGACAAATGAGACCAATTTTGGCCGGCCGTGTGTTAGGAAAAGGAACAACGGAAGGATTGCAAGAGGCATGGTCTCAGAGACTTAAGCTTCACCATGAAAGTTATTGAATGTTCATTACAATCAATTCATTAACTAGACTTACTTGAGATTGTAATTTTGCGTTCACAGTGAAGTAAAGAAAGGTACAGCACAACATATGTACCAACTGGAAACGCTCCATGTTCGGACCCTGTTTTTGTCACTCTGGCTCGTAATGTTAGATGCTCTTTGAAAGGTTTTTTTTTTGTGCTTTTTGAAAGAAAAAGGTATTGACAAGAGGTCTTTAACCTCACCAGTTATCAAATGCGTAGTAAGCAAAGATAGGCTTCTTGCCAAAGGCTGCTTTCCCTTAAAAGCGTAATCAAATTTGTTGTGATATTAAGCAAGACAAGGGTTTTCAAGGTGCTATCGAGCGATAAGGGATAATTCATTCCCGATACCTAATCTATACCATACTTCCAAGTTTCCTTAGGATGATGAATGAATCTGTACCTTCCCGCACTTTTGGCGCAAAGTCGCAATGGGAAGTCAGTATCACTAGCACATATTTTTGCTGACGCCTATTTTTCAAATTTCATACTTTGTAGACTAGTTTTTTTTTTCCGAGCGAAAAAAAAAAACCGTCATCGTAATTTTTCAGAAACTCGTTTGACAGCATTAATAGCAAAGACTGTAAACAAACTGAGTTAGAAGAGGCTGTCACAATTCGGAAACTCATCACGACAGCTCAAACCTAAATAACTTCGGAAATCGAATTCATACATTAAATACTTTCTAAATATAAAAGAAAATTAAATAACCATTTACTAAATAACTAAATGTTTCATAACACAAGGTTTCTAAAACGCGTAATCGAGTCAGATTTTTTTAAATGCATCCATCTTCGCAAAAAGCATGAATTCCTGCATTGTGACATTCTGTATGAAAATTACCTTGGTTTGATTAAAAAGGAGAATATTTCCTTCATTGCTTTACTTCCAATGGCCGTGTGAATAAAGAGAGAATTCATCAGTCGTCTCGTTTTTCAACTTTATTTCTTGAAGAAGACAGAACGGTTAGAAACAAATTCAGTTTCTCAAGTTAGAGTAGCAAATAATCAGGCGTGTTATGGTGGCTTGATCTGGTATCACGTTTATCACCAAACGGAGAATTCTTGTGTGGCGGATAATCAGGAATTGGTCTACGAACTGCATTTGGACATTGTTTCAAGCTAGATTTGCTTGAAGACGGATAACAAGTCAAATCTGTCTCGTCGACGTTTCTGAGAGAAGCTTCATTCATTCTCAGGTTAAATCTTGTTCACGACGTGTGCTGATGAGTAGGAGGGTGGAAGGGGGGCTTTTTATCGATAATTCCATTCCTCTCCTGGCACCACCTCCTTAGGTTTCGAACGCTCATTCACCATACCCAACAGAGACCCGAGTGAATGTGTATCCTAGTTGCCAACAGTGATCTCCAGTTGCGGTCTTTAATCATGGACGCCCATTTAGAATATGTCACAGTAATCCTACAGCGATGTCGAAATCAGCTCAAGTTTTCTCTTCTTACAATCCACGAACTATCATTGGCTGTAAGGTTGTTTCCAGGCCCTAGCACTGCTACTGCATTGGGAACGTCTGAGGAGGCCAAGTACCTAAAACGAACATACCATTATCAACAGGACAACACGTAAAACATGTTGGATAACCTATCTGAAACTTGCGATACTCACGTGCGTGCCACGTGAATGACGTCATCCCTGGTCACGTTAAACAGCCGGTCTCTGTTTGCCTGGCGCATTTCATCTGTCACACCTTGAGTAAAGTACAGCATGCCTCGGTTGCTTGGTGATACTGGTTTGTCGACCTGAGAGGATATAAGTGCATTAGAATCAGCTGGAGTTATCCAGTGAATACCACTCGATAAACACTTCATTTACTGTAACTGATTTTCTGATTGGTCGGCTTGAACAGACCATGAAGATAAATAAGTCACGAAAGTTTCTGCGAATGCTCTTGAAGTAAAGTCGTATCTGATGCTTACTTCGGCGAAAACAGAAAGCTTTGCTTCCTCAATGTCTTGGTCTGTAAACTTTCCCTCAAGCGCCCACTGAATGGAGTCCTCAAAGGCTGACAGCGTACCTTCGAAATTAGGATCTCTGCAAAAAAAAAGGCGCCGTCAATTAGGTAGAGGTATAAAGACTGAAGAGTTTATGGAGATTGTATGAAATTTATGGAGGGCAAAATAACGAAAAACAGACCTTGCAAATTTATAACTAATGCTGCAGAGTCTGCGCCAGAAGCTATCGCTTCTCACTAAGAAAAAGATCATTTACAACGAAGATCACCTGCCCCAATCCTTTGTAAAGCGGTCTGTCTAAATAAGCAACGTAAGCACACCTCACAAAAAACGCGCAGGTTTACCTGTAGGAGTAGAATGAGAAGATACCGCCTCCCATCTTAGCACCACTGCCATACGCTCCACCTTTCTCCCTGAAAAAACGGAAACAAAATAATAAACATCAAACCGAATTTGCTTGATTGTACCTGCAGAAATTTGAGCCACGTTTTATGATCGGGACACAAGAAGCTACTAGTCACTTCGAAAGGTCTGTGCGATGAACCGCTTCGACGCGTACTTCTTCGAAACAAGTCGGTGAAACTAATTGTACGGACGCAATCAGCCCTTCAATTCAAACCAATCTGAGTGTGCTTGACGTCTTAAGGGAGACGAAATTCTGTCTCAGAAACAGACTTTCGAAATAATCTCCACTTCACAAAAAAGAAAATTGCTGCTGCTCCTTAGATCCAAAACTTTGAGATTTCCTACAAGAAAGAACTTCAGACAGGATTGTAGAAACAGACGGGGGTAGAAACTGCATAAAAATATAATGAACAAAACTTTCTGTTCAAAATATCTGCGATGGTTGTTTTTACATCAGTTTGTTGGCGGTTTAAAACTGTACCTTATTTCGCGGTGAAGAAACTTCGCCGAGAGGAGTTTGGCCAGAATTCTTAATCTAGATAGAGTGAAAGTGAAGCAAGATAAGGTAAAAGGTAAGTAAAAAGAGCGCGTAGACAAGTAAACGTAGAGGTTCAGTTTGGACCGGGTTAATAAGGAAGAGGGCTGGACACTATGAAACAAACTATTGCTATAGTGTGACATGGGAACTTCCAACTAAACCTATGAATGAAATCCCGGAAAGTGTTCCAAAAAGCTATCCGGTTCATACAGTCGCCTGTGTAAATTCGACGGCCATTAATAGGGAAACTTTTTCCTCAAAATCGTTACTGTTTCGCAAATTCATTCACCTTTTTAGATCTCTAAACTTTCTAAAGATCTACTTATACCCTAAGAGTGGAAAAAAAAGTCCAGTTCTTGCCAGTTGTCTTTCCGCGTAAACGTTGCTTGAAATATATTTTTTAAACCAGCACTTCTGACACTTGAATTAACGAGGAACATAAATCTCGGACTTACTTAGGATGGTCCTCATGTGTGTAGGGCACTGTGGGTAGGCACCTGCTTATGTAATTAACTGGGAGAGGTACCTCATAGTGGGTCTTCACTGTAGATGGCGTGTAGTCTGGGAGCTATAAAAAAACAACCCTGTTGTTAGGCCAATGTTCTCCGATACACTGTCCAGCAAAGAGGTGATTCGAATAAAAAACTCATTGACTGATGTCTGATATACTGATAACATCAAATTTTCTTAGTTCATTTACATGGAAATTTACGGCTGTTAGAAAAGAGAATTACACTTCGGATATAAGGAGTTTATGGGTTGAATGAAAGCTAAAGCAGTGATGACTCAGGGAACTCTTCTTTAGTGAAGAGTTCCCATGATCTTTTTTGGCCTAAAATCTACATTTGATCACGCAGTCACCATCTTGATTTTTTTGGTGAGTACATGTACTTTTGTCGAATAATTCAAGACTTGCAGCTCCTTCCTGGCTTAAAATCTGCTTTCCTTCAGTCTATTTTAGAAGCATACCTGAACATGAGACGACTCTTCGAATAAACTACTGGACAGCGAATCACAGAAACCTTCCAAAGCATTTTCCACTGCTTGTCGTTCTTGAGCTGTTGTGTTAACTGCGCATCTGAAGGTAAACACAACTCGGTCAGCATCAACTACGCGAGGGACTCTAAAAATCGCCTTTACAATCTATCGCGGCAACAGAAGTACAAACTCAGGAGACTAAAACGTAAAGGTCTGTACTCGAACGGACCATCCAGCCAGAACGCATAACGGTATCCATAGCATGAAGCGACTAGGAGCATTACTCCCCCCCCCATGAGATGTCAGTCCATCGCAAGGTTACCCACCAGCATTTCATCAGGCTACGCTGTTTATACTCCTGGGTGTAGAGGCACTATGAAAATGTTTTGCTCAAGAACACAACACATTGATCTAGGCCACCTTGTCTCCCACGAGGACATGTAAATGCGTTTTGTCAATTATTTCTTACCTGAATTGTGTACCTTCCAACACCTCAATTGCTATGGAGCTGAATTTCTCTATAATTGGTGTCAGGTCCTCCATTTCAGCCATGTTCTTCATAAACAGGACCTGAAGCGAATTGAAACAGACATATGTTGTCCTAAATGATGCCAACAATCTCACTGTTCCATTTTTTTCGCAGTAGAGTTATCTTTATTTCCAAATCGTCAAACACGTGTTAGTTCCTACCTGTGCTTATGAACAAGAAGTTCATTGTAAGATGCATACCTGAGAAAGTCCTGAAAACTGCTCACTGAGGTGTGCCGCGGGAGACAGGGAACTAGAGGCGAGTGCCATCGCATACAAGTGTCCCGAGTGAGCAACAGACATCGCCAAGTCTGAGGCAAGCATATTAATGAGCGTGCGCAGACGTTCAAGGTCGTTTAATGTAGGTCTGCAATAAATTTTGGACAAAAGTAACCAAAGTGTCTACTTCTCATCATAACATTGAGGCAGGACTTTAAATTTAAAGCACAAACCTGGAAAATATTTCTCCCCACAAGTAAAACATGTGAGGGAGGTTCTTGTCAAGACAGTGAGAGGAAAAGGAAAGACCCTGTTCAAACGCTTTCATGTCACTATGGTGAGAGGACACGTGTGTTGATAGGCCCATGCCTCCTGTTCTCATCTCTATCAGCTGGGACAGTTCACGGTAGCTGAGGTTACCAGCACCCATTCTACAACCAAGAGAAGTTTCTAGTTAGAAAAAAAATACACACACATAGTCGTCACTTCACGAACTTCGCCTACACATCGCGTTTATACAAGAAAGACGAAAATGTTAGTTGACAGTGTGACATCATTGAAGTACTCACTTGGTTAAAATGAAGCAGAAGAGAGGCAGGTATTGCCGTAAATCCTCTGGTATATCGGTAATGCTGGAAATTGCACGAAAATATGTAATCCCATTGGTGGGTTGTTCACAATACTGCACAGGGACTCCAGCTGAAAGCGAACACACGTCACAATAATTTCAGTTCCAGATTCCATTCCAGAAGTGGTTCCTTACTTACAAAAATACCTTAACACAACCTAGAGTCATATTGTTTCAAACTTACCGGATATATAATGTTCTAACTTAACTGGCTTAACTTCAGAATCAATATCTGTAAATAAAAAAACGATTGGAAAAAAATGATTGTCAACTTATAGATGAATAAGTAAGGTAATTTTCTTGGCACTCAACAGAAGTAACAAAGGAAAAGAACCACTTGCCAGAAATCGCCATCTTCGGTAGACAGGACACATCTTCAACAGTATTCTGTTGTTCAGCCAGTTCAATACCTGACAATGAGCAAACAAAGAGGATGTGAGCCACTACACTCGACTCGGGAAATGAATTATGAAGGGGGTGAGATGTGGAGGCCACTGAACTGACTTTGAATTAAACTTTTGGTTATGGCAGGCCGTTGTTTATCTTTGTTGTCTACTCCCGTTCTTCAACTGTGGGTTGAGAACCTCTTCAGTAGCTGGAGGAACAAGATGTTAAACCTCACAAAAGTCGCTATGGGGTGATGGCTTTTACGGCTAATGGTTCAAATTTTGGCCATGTTACGCCTAACGGCTAATTTTTTGGCCGTTTTACGACTATCGGCTAACTCCGTCGAGCCCCCCCCCCCCCCGTATAATGACTTGAAAAGATACGCATACCTTTTTGATAAATGTTCCTTTTATCGTCTTCAGATAAACAACTAACTTTACTTTGTAACTTTTCTTTTTCTTTCTTGTTCAGTTCTGCCTCATACTCTGGCTGTTAAAAAGTTAGAAAGAAAGCAAAATTTGAAATTTGAAAAAGTTCTAAAGATCTCTGGCTGTTAATCTGCGTCTATTGATGAAACTTTTATCACTGAAAAACACTTCAACCGTACAAAGAAATGAAAATATCAGGGAAAAAAATGCTGATTAAATTTTTTCTCCAGTTTTAATTTTGTGAACATCTATGAGAGCATATATGTTACCTACTCACAAAAACATTAGTTTCCAATGAATGAGCTGAAAAACACATTTCCCGAAGCATTAAGATGGCAACATTACCGCAAAATCGTTTGTTGAAATTCTCTGTGAGTGAGTGAGTGAGTGAGTGAGTATTCTTGCAGGTTTTATCAACGATAAGGTCGGTTGATAAAGCGCTACCAAAGCGGTACTTACATCAGGATTCATAACAAGTGTCAGGCAATGTGGGTTATCCTTAAAACACTCCTTCACTTTTTCTTGTAGAAATGGTCCGTTTGCTAGTTTTTCCTGAAAGCAAATTAAACTATCAAATGTTGTTGAAATTGTAGGGGAACTGAAAAGATCAATTAAAGGAAAAAACAAAAAAATCGCAAGATAGGGACTTTGGAAGAAGAAAGATGGTAAATTTGTTTCGCACACAGCGCCATTCATACCTTAAACAGCTGTACATGGTCATTAATCAGCAAATATTCTGATGGATCGGCACCGTGATTCCATGCTGACATTATTCCCTGAACGAAACATAGAATTACGAAGTCTTAATTAACAAATTAATCAAGTTACCTGAGGCATTTCGGTACACATACAACAAAACAACAACAACAACAAACAAACAAACAACAACGATAAAAAGAGACATCTGATTACATGTAGCAGGATAAATAGCGTACGGTTTGAAAAAGGAAGTACATCCAAACCCAGCCCTACTGATTCTCAAAGTGCAACTCGTTCCAGTTCTTTCAATTTCGATTTAGTTGAGCCAAAGAGAACTAGAACTAGTATCAGAAGCACAACAATAAGAGAGAACAGGTTCAAAGTTCCTTTGCAATAACAACAATAGTTACCAGCTACCAAAACATGAACACACACTATCCTGACTCAGTTCATAATATCATGAAAAAGATACAAAGTATCAAACATTCAGCCGTTTTACTCCCAGCATCAAAATAGCAATTCTCCTCACAGTCATAATTGCCCTCCCAATGATTCTAGCACTGAGAATTTGGTGTAAAATCAACCTTGGATCCCCTTGTTACTATTTCTTTTCCTTCTCTACATCTTTCTGTTTTGAAAATGTGCTGATATTTTAAAAGAAAATAATTTTATATATATATATTTGCCACCAGAGAACCACAAATACCACACTTTATAGTTTGGAGAGTAATGGCAAGGAAGCCCCCAAGGAACCATGGGGTTTATAAAATACAAGCTTCCTTAACTTGTAGCACATTACTTACAGAAATGGAGCAACAGTGGCATGAACCACAAAAATTAAATAATGAAAATAACTTACAACTCAAAAATAGGAAAAAAGAAAACAAGAAAAAAAGGAATCAAGGGAAAGCAAAATGTGAGAAAAAACCTTTTTTTTGGTCCATTGCAGGTTGGAGTAACAGGGCTATCACAATATTTACCGTAATGAGTCCCAGTCCAAAGTTACTGCTCTGATGTTTTGTTGCTAGCTCCACCCTGTGAAGAGCTGCTTCCACCCTCTCAGATGGAAAACCTTCCCTGCAAACAATGCACAGGTATGTTGGTGCACATATCATGTACTTTTGACTGAGTTTGGTTGGGCCTGATGGGAAAATTTTTGGCCCTCAGTCATGATGAAAATTTTGTACAGCTTAAATAGGACTTGTTGACATTAGCAAGTGGTCCCAAAACAAAATGGTCAAGAAAAAGTTCAAAGCTCATAGCAAGTCTCTTGACTCATTAGTTTTGGGGCTGAGGGTTTAATTTCAGTCAATCTTGTGCTTTTTAAAGCTATATACTCTTTATGATTTACTTACTCAATAACTTGATCAAATGTCTTGTGAATTTGTTCAACAACCATTGGGTAGTCATCTTTCTTGATGCCTTGAAGACCAATTGAAAATGAAGCATCTCTTGTTCCATTATCAAACCTTTGAAAAATCCACCATGTAACATTAAAAATCTCTTTTTTTTTAAACAGAATCATATTTATTTTGCATGACAAAACAATAACTAAAATAATGCAAGGCATTTAATATTTACAGTGGACAGCAAAAAGAATATCATTCTTCTAATTACAGCTAAAAACATCATAGACTGATATATTTTTTAAAATATATTGGCTACAAATAAGAGTGAACTTGTTAGCATTTTAAATTCCAAGATCTTAACCTCAATTCTCATTTCTAGTAGCTACAGATTTCCTTGATAAGTAGTTACAAGAATCTGTTGCAGGATAACATATTATTACAACTTAAACATTACTGACTTCCCAGCACTTGCAACATGCTCATAGAAAACTTTTAAGTTTAAAAACTTATCAACAAAAGAGCAATGATAATAAACTCTCCTTTTATTAAGCTCCACATACGCTCAATCCAGTTTACTTCCTAATGTAAAGACTTGTGTTTAAGTGTTTACTGGTTCACCTTCTGTATTTTGAACCCCACTACCACACCACTCTAATCAGCATGTTCAACTAAAGTTTTAAGTGGTCCCCCCTAGGGGCTGTTAATTCAACTTACCCTGCTCCTGGTGAGTAATCTGAGCCAATGTTTGGTGCGATAAGGGAATTGTAGAATGGTGAGTTTGGACCACTCATTAAAAGTGAAGATAAAATGACCATGGAGAAATTATCAAATGCATCTGTGGTTCTGTGGATAGGACAATATCATAATGGGTATTCAGGAGGATGGAATTAATATCAAGTCAACTTCAAATTATATTTCATGGTTTTTATTACAGAATGTGTTAGCAGGTGAAAGGTGTATAGTGAAAGGAAAAAATTATACAAATCTAAATAGATAGTAACTCAGGTCTTCAAAATTTAGCTGAAGAATTCTGTGTAATAAGCCAAGAATTTTCAGTCTTGATTACTAGTATGCACTCTATCAAGTGGCTCTCTCTGCTGAGAGGCACAATGATTTGCTTATAATAAAGTAAGCAACATGTACCTCTCATAGATATAACATATCTAGAAAATAGGCCGAGTTGTTCACTAGAAATTCCTGAGTCTGTTTAAGTGAAACAACAATACATTTTTATGACTTGTTTTCAGGTGTTCAGGTCTCTTTCAGATGACTTCTCTTGTAAACTCACAAGTATTTTCTTAGATCAACAAACACTCCTTGATCAAGACCAGGACTTAACAAACCTTCCTGTTAAATAATGTAGTCCCACTGTAGTTTGCTTGTCAGGATTTGCAGCCATTGGATCAACAGGGCAGGTTACATGTTTTTCTCGCTAAAAGAAACAAAAATATCATAATCAAATATTAGTGACAGAGTAACTGTTAACAACAAGATAGGAAAAAAATACACTCTTGCTCTTTAGTTATGAACCAGCAGCACTAAACTTAGCTGCTCTATTCTGCACCTATAAACATTTACAAATACTGGAGAAATAATTTACTAATGATGGAAAAAAGGATAAGAACAACACAAAGAAAGGAAAATTGGAAAATGGAATGGTTTAGAAGAATGGCTGAACAATCGTCTATAAGAAGGAGCCAAAAAAATTGATAGAATGATATATGCAACAATCCATTCCCAATGCAGAAAACTAGAAGCACCCCCCTTACATAGCGATCACACTACAAAATCAATTTATAGCAACTCTCCTCTTGTGATAAATTTAATTTTTCATTATTGATACTTACAGGTTTTAACCAGCGTGGTTCATGTGGAATGTCTGTTGTTACAGAGATCTTGTCAAAATGGCGTAAAACTTTAGTCTCAATATTTTCTAGATTTTTCTCTAGGGGGAGGTCTCCATAAGTATAGAACCTGGAAATTCATAATTGTTACAATGATTAGTTTTTCATCAATTATTTATGCTATCCTTAATGAAAAAAAAAAAGGAAAATTGCCACAGACTTCAAGTGATAGTGTTCACCTACATTTTAAAACCTTTTCACTTCCAAGATCTCATTGGTAATTCTCCTTACTGTCTCACATGCAATTCTTAAAATGTTAGTTGGGAGAATTTGATATTAGATCAACCAATAATTCCCTTGTCAATATTTTTCCCTTTATTCTTAACACTTGTCTGCTTGTTATTGTATTGATGTTGTAAAGAGAGATTTCACCTTGGTCACTCACAGAAGTTAAAATGGTAACTATTTCAACAAAGTCAAAAAAATTCATTACATCAAATAATAAGTTTTAAAGATGATGACATGCAAAACAACCAGCAACTGAGAAGACTACCAAATTGAATAAGAAAAAACTAAGGAAGGAAGATATACTGCAGTCCATTTGGATATTAAAAAATACATTTTACCTGGAGTTACTGGGATGATAGTGTGAGGCATGAAAATCTTTTAACTGTTGCCACTAAAAAAAGTCAAAAAGAGAGATCACAGAATGTCATACTTGCACCATGGTAAGTGCACCAGAGATAGCCAGCTACACCCTCACATTAATTGACTAACTAATTATAACATTCCATCCAGCTGAAAATGACTAATCCCTTAAGAGCATAGAGTTGACATTATGATTATGGCATTTTCGTTGGTGAGCCCTAAAAAGAGTCAAGAACTGTGATACAGGATGGGAATAACAGTAAACTGTAAATTATACTTACTGTGAGGTCAGGAATACACAGTGGATCCCCTCCACTATTGTTGCTATATGTGTGACTGGGTAATAAGTTGCTTTGGGCATGATGAACAAATAACGACTCTGGTGTTGACTAAAGAAATAAGAAATCAATTTTTTATTCAGTATTTAATTCCTTTCCAGAAAAAAGTTGCACAGCAGCTCTCCAGTTAGAATAGTTTACTAATTTAGACACACAGTTACTAATTATTTATCTATTCATTCATTCGTTCATTCATTCAGACTTCACTTGTTTCTTTTAATTATCTGCTTAATTAAGGGTTTGCAATCTCATTTATCTCAGTCAGTCAAACATTCAATCAGTCAGTTAGACAGCCAGTCAGTCAGTCAATAAGTAAATCAATCAGTCCCTCAGTCTGACAGTTGATCAGTAGGTCAGTCTGTTAGTCAGCCAGTCAATTAGCTGATGAGTACGCCAGTCCACCAGTTAATCATTCCGTCAATCTTGCCCTTGTTTCACTCATACAGATAAGCTAACCATTCAGTCCTTTTCAAATCACTCACTCACTCACTTACTGGACACATGTACACCTCACTCACTCACTGGACACATGTACATCTCACTCACTCACTGGACACATGTACATCTCACTCACTCACTGGGCACATGTACACCTCACTCACTCACTGGACACATGTACACCTCACTCACTCGCTGGACACATGTACATCTCACTCACTCACTGAACACAAGTATGCCCCTCTTACCATGGCACCCTTCATTTCATTGAAAACCACTCCCTTAAAGATCAATGGTGAATCTGGATTGGCCAAATCTTCAGGCTCTAGCCGCCAACCTTCTTGCCTGGTAAAGCAACAGCATTTTTTCCCACTTAATACACTGTATCACAAACTCAAATGCTGCAGAAATTAAGGGGATCATTAGTGTGTGTGAGATAGTTAAGCTTAAAAAATTTCCACTGCTCAAAAGAGAGGTCTTCTTTGCACAAAAGTTACATTGTACATGTACCATCAACTCAAGGTAATACACCTTTAAATATGTTCAAGTATATTTATTTAACACTGGGTGAGGACAATGTTCCCTGGCTAAGCAGATGAGAGAAGTAATGGCCAAATGATTTGGACTCCAAAACAAAACCTCCAGGATTAAGCCCAAGCCAAGGTCACCTCTATCAAGGACACTTCAACCCCACAGTGTCTCTTGTCACTCAGGTATATAAATGATTACCTGTGAGCTAAACAGAAACCCATTGAAATGCTGTTATTAACCTGCAAAGGACAAGAATTCTCCCAAGGGGAGAGTAGCTACTTCTCGTTGTTTCATGCTATGGAACTGGGATAAGGTTGAGTGGTGTGTGCACCACAATTAACCACTGCCTTAAAATCATAGATATGGAATTACAAATTTAAAGTATCATTATTTCTTTAATTTCTGTCAAACTGACCTGAAATCTTGCTCTCTTAGTTGTGGAAAGAAGGCTGCATCCAGGTAAACAGAGAGCAAATTCTCAAAGTCTTTTGGGTTTTGAGTTGAGAAAGGATACATGGTGAAGTCACTGGCTGAAAAGGAGAGAAAAGATTTAACAGGACACTTACAGTATTACATAATTTATTACCACTCCTCCTTGAATGATTATTGCAGTTAAGAGGTTGAGTATTATCATGCAAAATTAAAGTTTATAATGATGTGTCGTGACCGGAAGCGAGTTGTGTTACCTTTTATGTTACGTGCATGAACTGATTGCGAAACGCATGATTGTTATATGATATGATATTGAAAAAAGATAGAATTACGGACAGATAAGATCGATTGAGGAGAGAATACCACGACGTGTACCGACAAAGTGAAAAAATATTAAATCTGGTGAAAATCTACAGAAAGTTTCCTTTGTTATAATGACAATGAAGCAAAATTCCCCAAACATATCAATCAGGAGATTAACTTTGTGATGCATTTTGCACATGTCTGGCTTTTGGAAACTTAGGTGTCCAGAAGGAATATGCAGTGCACTCCCAAATAATAGTACTAACTTTAATTTATGATCATAAATTGATTGCTTTCTAAAGGTTATGGGAAGAGAAATGCCTGTAAATCCTTCTATATCTCTGGCTAGAGGTTTTCATGTTATTCATCAGTTGATTCATTTTAACATGAGAGCTTTAACATATAATTACAGAATGTTAAAAAAGTACCCAATCATTAGAGTTAATTGACAATTATCATTTTTCTCCTGAGCAAAAAAACCCAGTGATAACATCTTATTTGAAATGATAACTTGGCTCAAAATTTATCATCTCTCATCAGCTCCACACCATAATCCAAGCCTAGCTGTGTGTGGGCCATATGCCACATACCAACCTAGTAAGTTGCCTACCTTGTTATAAAGTATCAGAAGGTCTCATGGTATAAGAGCAACAGCCATTGAGATTGTAATTTATTAAGATCCTGAGGGGATCTCTTAGAATTTTCTCTACAACACTCTGTTACCTGTGAAGGCATTCATGAAGGTAGAGAGGGATCTGTTAAGCATCTTGAAGAATGGATCCCTGACTGGGTAGCTCTGTGAGCCACACAGAGCTGTGTGCTCCAGAATATGGGAAACCCCTGTGCTGTCCATTGGAGTAGTCCTGAATGCAACACTGCAATGAAGAGGAATATTATTCTCAGATGTGTCCCCAGAAGGCACCTTTATTTCAATTTAATCCTTTTTGGCACATGCATTAAGTCTCTACATTATCTTGTTTAATACTGTGGTGTAAAATGTTAAGCTTTGCTTGGCTTGGCTTGGCTTGGCTAGACTGTACTACACCACACTACACAGAGCTGGAATAATATTTATTTATTAATGGGCAAAGAGGACAACAAGGGAACATGTTGGTAAGAGCTAATCAAGTGAAAAGCTAAGCAAAGTTACCAAACCCACATGGAAGTTAGCAACGGTAACCCAACTCATCCAAGTGCAAAAAAACATGACATCTTCATTCACATTGGTAAGAGTTAATCAAGTGAAAAGCTAAGCAAAGTTACAAACCCACATGGAAGTTAGCAATGGTAACCCAACTCATAAAAAAAAAATTGAGACTTCAAAAATACTGTTTAGTCAGTAAGTCATTATCATTTGTACCCAAAAACATTATTGGCATCATCTCTAGCAATATGTAAATGCTGGGCTCCTGTGTTATTGTGTGTCAGTTGGACAGACACTAGGAACAGTTCAGGTACTGGCACAACCTGAGAAAATAAAGATAAGAAAATTTATAATTTAACTTAGCCCAGCTATTCAGAGGGCAGATAATGCCAGCTAACGGATAAATGGCTATTCATATCTTGGGCAAGGTGTGCTGCACTATCTAGTAAACAGCAATTTTTCCAGTGGACAGTGTTATCCTCCCTTCCAAAAACTAGGGCCTAATTATTGAGTAACAACAAAGGTGTGAAGCCTTTCTTCAATTCAATTTCATGAAATGTCATTTCACAATACATTAGCGACACTTTCTTACTCCCTGTGACTATGTCATTTTGGTTTAGTTTGATCCCAATTTTAATCACCTTTTCAACATGGCAGAAAATCACCCAAATATACATGCTACTACCATGCAAAATTGTATGAATTAGTAATGATGTGGTGATGGCAATTACTATTACTACAAATTCAATAGGTTTGTAATGAGGTTTGAAAATGCACCTTATCTAGTTAATTGATCACTGTACTTTTGAAAAGTTTTGTGAAAACTCTGGCCATTGTGTGTATCATCTGAACTTGACCATGTTATTTAATCATAAAATACCTTGTTGACTGTATATCCATGTATTCTGTCACCTGGTTTCAGCTGACCTGTCCAAAGAAATAATTCAGTCAATAATATTGCATCAGGACTATAAATCACCATGTGTTCCAAGCAGGTCTAGAACTTACTTGCAGCCTCTAAAGAGTTGCATTTCTTGCTCTCTTCTTTCAGTGCACAAAGACCACGCTTCAAAGCAGACCTGTTATTGCAACAAAATTAGAAAACATTTGAACCTTTGACCCCCCCCCCCCCTTGAGTGACTAGCATGTAATTTCTCCCTACAATATCTACCCTGAATCACGTATTTTGGTCACGAGAATAAAGAATATGATCGCCATTTAAAGCTGTTGAATGTTAACCAAATTCTCTTTGTCAGCACCTTAGGAAATGTATGGAGAACGATAGGGAGAATAGGCATATAATCACATAAGAAATTGATGTAAATTTGCGCGCGGGGGCACAAAAATCTGTGCCCAATTTAGTAAATTTTTCCTTAACGTTCAGCTGATTCACAGTTAAAACAGCATGAGCAAAAAGCCGATTGAGAGGTCAGCTAAGGCTTGAATGACTCCGTGGACAATAATTCAAAGATTTGTAGAGGTAAATGTGTATCCATAAGAAAAGTGACGCAAGAGGGAAGTTTATGTTTATCAAAAATTGCGCAGTCAGCACGCATGTTTTAACAGATACGATAGTTAAAACTATCTGTCTTACCATTTGCACTGCCGTGATAACTTATTCCATTGCGGGGGAAGGAGGTGACGGTTAGCTCTCCACATTCTTTAATTTTCAGGTACTTTAATTCACAGGATGTTTCAGACCATCTCCATCAAACATTATATGATGGCACTTCCTCACGATTAATACTGAACAACCAGCATGGCGCATTGACTAAGTATCCAGGCCTGACGGTTATGAAAAATACTATGTGTGAGCCCACAGTAAATCACAGGGACAGCAGTATGTCGTTTTAGACAACGGACGCTCTAGTGGCGTTGAGTTGGTGAAAAGTGTCAAACAAAATGAGCTAGTTTTCGTCAATTTTCGCCATATTCTGGATACGATCAAGTTAGAAAATACTTCCACCCCTCTTGAGGAAGCATGGCTTATAGGGATGGCGCGGTAAGACTTTCTAAATAATCTGAATTTAACCATGAGGGATCAGCGTCCTTCCATATCCTCGGCAAGTGGCTTTTGACTCCTCTTGGTTTGTTTATTTTCACTACATCCGTTGCTGAAAAGAAATTGTGGTGGAGCTGATCTTGTCGATTTATGACCATTTCCAATGGGCTAAATTAAAAAGTTATTTTAGTCCGTTGTGCTAAATTACGAGAGCGTGGAGCAGAATTTTAATCGACAACCGTACTTTACATAGTTTGACATCGCAAACGCAAGGATTTAGTTTGAAATTGCCTCCACGATTTTCCTTTGATCTTTCGAAACTCCTAGCTATCTGCATGGCGTTGATAATAAGACTTACTATTTTTAATAAATTTTGGGTATACTCACTTTCACGTAAGTGGATAATCACGTTAAGTTGCACATCGTGTTGTAGTTTAAAATGAATTTACCATCGAATTGATTTTAAATAAGTTTAATTTCTTTTTTCCCTTTGTTCAAGGAGCACTATCATAATCTTCAAACAAATATACTTACAAATAAAACCATTTTTTCATCATTTTGACCTGGAATCATCTAAAACTACATCATATGTTATTTAGAAAAGTTTTTTTCTCTAGGTTTCAAGATTTAGTCATTTGCCTTTCATCACAAAAAAGGTTGCCAATTGAGCAAAATTATATTGCAAACTGTTCAGTACATTAGATCAGATTAGAAATTAATGGGTTTAAAACCTTTTGCCTTCAAAGTACACAGCACAAAATAGTTGTCTGTGATATTTGGGAGAAGTAGTTTAACTTGTTCATCCAATATTGGCATGATATTGCACCAAACGTTAGCACAAGTTGGAGATAACTTTATTTTTTATTGGAAACAAGTTTTCACATACTTTCTTATTTCTTTTTCTCTCTTCATTGTAGTCAACTCCTCCATATATGTCTGGGTACAGTTACAGAGGCTTTGGGGTTGACTCCCCTCACAGAGCAAGCATCCGCTCCACATCATCATTTCCAGGGGCAAGTGGATCAGTTTCTTCCTTCCATGACAATCTTAGAGCATCTCCAAGAGGAACTGTTCCTCAGACTAATAGCAGAGGTAATGTGTTGTTTTAGTCATTTTAGACAGTGTACAACATTTGTTTGAAATATATGTTGTGGACAGACTACAAGCAGTCCCAGTCTTAGAGAGAGCATGACTTGAAAGCAAGAGCCACAAACCTGCTCTCTCTGACTTCTCTTGCCACATTCTACAAATGCAAGTATTTGTGAGCTGTACAGCTGACTGCAAGAGCCTTTTATGCTCTTTAACCCTTTAAATTCCAAGATCTGATTTTAAATTCTCCCCCTAGCTGCTACACATCTCCTAGTACATTAGTTACAAGAATTTGGTCTTAGATCAAGATAACAATTTCTACCTGATAAGTTTGAGAAATCTCCTTACCTGTTTGCTGGATAATGTAAGGATATTGTAGAGAGAATTTACATGTTTATCTGGGAGAAAGGGTTAAGAGTTAAATTGTCATTAGCAAGTTATTTCTTTTAATGTTTATTTATTTATTTTTTTAAATGCTGATAAATTGTTTACTTCATACTTTATTCAAACAGCTGTTGTGTCAGCCCTAAAGGGACTGCAAGAAAAGATTCGTAAACTTGAGCTGGAGAGAGCAGATGCAGAAGATAATCTGAAGAAATTAGCTGCTGAATCAAGACATTACAAGGATGTGCTGCAAAAAGAACTCACTGTCCGTGAATCTTCACAAGGAGTTATTTCAAAGCAAAATAAACGTAGGGTTACAGCTTTATTTAACATCCAGCATAAATACCTCGCAATACCTGAGGTCTGTACTGAAAGTTGCAGACTGGTTTTTTTCTTGGCATTTTAATGTGTGTGGCCAAAGTTTAAGGCACAGGGGCTATAAGTCAATGAGGAAAAAATGAGAGTTCATGACTAGAAATGACAGAACAAGAAAGTGTGGAAATTGAATTATTTTGAAGGAAAAAAAATCAACTTTGGCCCCCTAGGTTTCACGCCACAAATATTCAAAGTAGTTGAAAATTTGCTCATCTGAAGCAATTGTACAGGACAGATTTGCCTCATAAATTTCAAAAAGCCTTGATTAAATTATTTTTAAGAAAAATAAAAACTTCTGTTTCAGTACTTCAATTGAATCATTTATGTGTTTGTTGCTACATATTTTAGAGTTAGAAGATGACCTTCAAGGTGCAGAAGCTCGATGTAATTTATTGGAGAAACAGTTAGACTATATGCGTAAGATGGTCCAAACTGCTGAAACTGACCGAGATCAGGCATTACAAAGGTCAGCAATGGTTGCTAAACAGGCTGCCCAGCAAACCTCTGATGATATGAGAGGACAGTTTGAGAAACTAGCTGGGCTTGAAAGGGAGCACATGAAGTTAACTGCATCACATTCTATAGCTGAGGTGAGCTTTTGGAAGCCTGTATAGAGACATCTGCCATGTTTCTTGCTCAGGAGATGATTGCATGCAGTATTTTTTTAGGAAATTTGTTGTTTTCTTTTATGGTTTTCTTTGTTTCAACTTTCTATAGACATGTCTTGTTCTTGCCCAAACTGTATAAGTCTTTTTTCTTTAAAGAGTGCAAAGTTGTTGAGAAGTTAAAGAAAAAGAATACCCATTGACTTGACTCACTTGTGTCTTTCTGTAAGGTCAAAACAGGCAATCCAGAGTTGGCAGAATGGGTTTCATCTTGTACATATACAGTTTCTGTGTAATAAAAAGATGCTGTGAATGAATATTCTATGAGTGTTCACTGTCCATTTCCCTTTAATTTCCCCTTGCATTTCTCAGCACAATTCACATGGTTCCATGTTCAAAAATTGTTGTGCAATTAAATTTCTTTGTTATCACTGCAATAGAAGTCTGACCTATGGTTTTATCTCATTTGCAGAGTAAAATTAGGGAATTGGAAGAACAACTAAGAGAGGAGGTCCATCAAAGAAAACTGGTGGAGAATAAAACTGCAGAGGTTGTTAGTAATCATCATTATAGCAATGTGTTGATATAGAAAGTAATCTGGATTAGCAGTAGTTTTGTTTAACTTCGCTCTGTGATTGGTTTAGAAAACTTAAGCCACCATCTCAACCAATCAGATGCAAAACTAAAACCAATCACGACTTAATTGGTTACCCGCGTTTTCCTGCGCTCTAGGCAGTTTGGTCGGTTTTACTTTGAGCACTCATTGGCTTTCAAAGATTTTCTCCTCTCTTCTGATTAGCCGGTGTGGTTACTTTTGTTTTGGATTTACGACACACAATCGAAAAGCGCTCTAATCATAGTTGCAATATGCTAAAAGTAAACATATCATGGAGGAGCTGTAGCCTAATGGTTAGACGTGAGATGAAAATAATCGGTGACTAAATTTGGAGAGAAAATCGCCAATTTGGCGATCTGTTTACGGCGATCTCCTACCTTCCCCATTTTTCCGGCGACCAAAACCTCTTTTTTTTTTCGGGGGACTATTTTACGATTTTAGGTCAAGAAATAGCGACTTCGAAAAGGAGATAGCTGATCACGAGAAAGCTAACACAAGAAAGCACACTGTACCAAATTAAAAGCAAACTTGTTTCTCTTCCAGCTGGAATCAGTCGCAGAAACTAACAGAATACTTATGAACATGGCCTCGCCACAACGAACAAAGCCAAAGAAAAAGAAGCGAAAGGTAACTCTCACTTGCGTTATTTGTGGTAGTTAAAGTTTTTTCTTTCTATATTTTAGCTTGTAATTTTTTTTTCTATGTGTAAAGTAGACGAGTGTTGTTATATTCATTTCAGCCTCCAAGACCTAAACCAAGAAAATCAAATCAGCCTGTTAAACCTTCGGATCACTACCATTTAAATTTAGGAAATATTCCATTTGTCGTCGGCCAGGTATGTGACAATGTTGAATTCCTTTAAAACTTAGGTTAGACCAAAAAAATGGGGAGCAAAGTGATCAGAATAGCCAATCAGAACAGAGATCAGCAAGGAACCAATGAGAACTTAAAGCTACGGCTCAAGCGCGGGAAAATGCGAGTTACCAAGTTATGCTTGGATCTAGTGTAACATCTAAATGGTCGAGAAGACTTTTGAAATTACACCCAATTTCGTAAAAGCACACTTATTTGGTATTGATGTAGTGATCATTTTAAGATCCAAGTATGGTGGGAATTCGAAGAAGTCGCGTGAAAATTAGTTCTTTGGATGGGAAGGATAATAACACCGAACGGAGTGACATTTCTTTCTCTCTCATCTTCTTTTTTATGGTTTTTTCTTTTTGGTGATAGTCGACTACAAAATCACACTCTCTTGGAGCTAATGTACAGACTGTGCTATCTTTAATGAAAGCCCATAACCCAGCGCTGTGTCACGCTGCTGCACGACGGGCTCCGAAAAGACTCCCGCAAAGTGCGGGTTCAGCGAGTGCCAGTGATTCAGATAACGCTTTCGAGGGGCTTCTCCTTGGACTACAGGATGAGTTTGGACACATCACTTTGTGCGTACTAATCAGTATTTTCGCCTAAGTTAGTCCTTTATGTGAGCCATTTAAATTAAAGTATATGAGACGCGTTAAAGGCATTAAGGCTACCACAGCCTCGTCCCTAGGACGAGGTCAAGTTGTGTTCACAGTTTTGCACTTTTTGAATAAGTGTTCTAAAAAAAGAAAACCTAGATAAATAAAATGGTAAATCGAACAAAGAGAAAGTTTACAAGGCTGTGAGAGTTCAAAGTGAAAAAACGAGAAAGGATTGGTTTTTAAGTCTTCAGTATACAAGATATAATTTTCAAGTTATAAGAGAAACGCGCTTGAAAAAAGGCTTAACAAACTGAAGTTAATCCCTATTTTCTGTGCTGTGTATCATTTTCAGCGAGCATCGAGAACTTTCTCGTCAAATACAAGAATCCGACGATCCAAGAATACAAGAAGATCTCAGAAGAGAGCTTGAAAACTTAGAAGCTCGAATGGAAGCAAAAGGAGAACAAATCGCAATGGTCCGACGACAGCAAGAGAAAGCGAAACGACAGCGCAAGAAGCAGAAGACAAAAGCAGCGGTTAGGCCTAAGAGCGCAAGCGCTGTCCTACCGGCGAGTGGTGGCGAAGTAGAGGTAGTGACAACTGTTAAAACGAAACCTGCTCGAACTGGAGGCACAGTGAAAGATACTTTATCAGTTTATAAAGGGATGAAGACGCTTCAAACTTCGCTTGGAAAGAATCAATATCATTGGGACTAGCCAAGCGGATGTTTCTTGTCCGAAGGGTGGAGGGAAAAGGTTGTTGAGGTGGGAATAAATATACTTGTGGGAGGGTAGGGTTATATTAGATAGATAGGTAAAAGAGAAAGTTTTTCAAACAGAAGACTTAAAGTGTTCAGACATGATACGTGTGGAACTTGCAAGGAGTGAAGAACTGAAAAAAGAGAGAGTGTGACAATCCGATCATTGATTTGTTTTTATCAAGATCTTTATTGACTTGCCCATGAAATTCTTCAAATTTAAAATAAAGAGAATGTAAAAAGATGACTGAGAGAACTGACGTTTTAATATCTGAACTCAAAAGTATAATGCCTCATTGTACTTTGACTGAACACTGAACAAGCATGTGGAGACTAGCAGTTATTTATATATATATATATATTGTATGGTTTTCCTTCGTAAGAAGATTTGTAATTATATACATGGAACAAACTTATTCTGAACTCTTCAATAAAAGTAGGATCTCATGCGTCTAGTACTTTGTCGACAGAAGTATTGTGCGACCCATGTATCCACGACGTTTTTACAGCTCAATAAGAGCTTGCGGCCGGTTAAACTGTTCCAGCAAGTCAGTTTGTGAAGACGAGCGAAGGAAAAAACTAGCGGGGACTAAGAAGAGGGGGAAAAGGTCTTTCTCGCCTCACCTTGCCTCAATGCGTCTCCTTTAGCTTCTCCTTAATGTTACACTTTTACAAACGCGATTGATGTTTAAGGGTAGGGTAATTTAATATTATCAACTGAGTTGATAACTTAAATTGGCCACCGTAAAAGAGTTACGAAGAACGAAGGACTAACGCTCGAAACGTCAGCTTTGAAACTCTTTGCGGTGGCCAGTTTACGTTTTCAACTCAGTTGATAATACCAAATTACATTTATTCAAATATGTTGGAGCGTAACCTGTTTCTCAGACGGTTCAGGGCCGCCCGTTCAACTTCCTTCTTTCCTTGTCGGGGCGAGAAGGGTGTAAAGCGGGCAATTTCGTCAATTACACAGCATAATTCGAAAGCGCTCGCAATAGGCGCGCATATATGAAAGGCAGTGATAGTTCATACTTTCAATAAAGCGAAGCAAACTTCTTTGTCTTCCTAGCTGAATTGTTATTCAAATATTTACGCTCTTCATAAGGTCTTGTCAAACATATTCAAGAGATCTTAAGTCTTTCACAAAGGAACTCGTATATTATGAACACAATACGAAGTAAATCCCAAAGTCTCACAGCATTCTACGGACACAAGCGACACGATTACTGGCGATCGATAACATTCGAATAACATGCAATCACAGTGAAAAGAAAAGAGAGAATTTGAAAGTGTGAAGACACAATTCGCAAAACAATGTGTAAAGATACGAAAGCCGTTTGCTTAAGTTTACTAACTTTGTTAATGCATTGTGGAATGGAGCTATGTGGTAGTTTTGCTGAATGTCAGTTTTAATGACTGAATGATTGAACATGTTAGAATGTGCTGTGAGTGCCGTCCAAAAATGGTATCCAGTGATTCCTGTGGGTAAGTTCACAGTTGATTGCGTTTATTTCGTCATGTGTGGATACTTTTGTTTGACATTTTTCATCGTTCTCAGAGCACAGCTCTAGCGTGAACATGCCTTCAACTTATCTTAGACATTCTCGTCACTGTTCCGTTACTTTCGTTGAAACATCTTTATAGGCTACAGGAATTTAACAACTATTCACGTTTTCTTCGGCCGTATAGTTCCTAGATTATTACGCCAGTAAAGCGAGCTTCAATTGTTGGTACTAATGACTGGTAAGAGTGTACGAAAACAACATTGATCTAAATTATGGCGATTTATTTAACAATGTTTTATAAAAACATCCTGATCTGAAATCACGGCCTCGGTCAGCAACCCTGTCGAAGAGGGATCAAAAGATTTCATCATGTCACTAAGATAGAATCGGATAAATCTTTTCCAGGCGTTTTGTTAGTACCGAACGGCTTCCGAGAAAAAAATTGGAAAGAGGTTTGGAACGCGAACGCTCACCCTAAACTAAATGCCTGAACCAAACTGGAAACATGTGATTCGCAGACCCTCACAAGCCAGACAATCAACTAATCGACATCGTTAGTCAAGACGCCGACACCTTTATTTGGTGAACTTGCCGACACTACTTGTCAACACGCCGACAATTTCACCAAATATTTACACCTTCTTTGCGCCAAACGGTAACTGAGGTATGAATAGTGTCAGTAAACCGAAGTGGCCAAAGACGACTGTCGGCGAGTTGACATGTCGGGGAAGTGACCGAGTGCAAAACTCATCATTTTCGAGCTATCAGCTGCATAAAGTTTAACGTGCGGTACTTTGAATAAGAAAGACCCAATACAACTCTTGACCAGGCACTCGGAAAACACACTTTACATGAATCTCACGGTGCCTCTCTCCACCATCAGGAAACTAGCAAAGACACTTGTCTTTCATAGGGATTAAATTGTCACATTTTAATATTAAGGTGCATATGATAACAATATATTGATATAACTCAACGATATATGTATTTAGCATTTCATACCGTTTACTTTAGTAGATCTCAGTATAGGTGGGTAAAGTATTTAGATACTTAAATATATATTTTTATTTCGCAAGAGAATATATCCTCTTGCATTTTGATATTCCTAACATACCTTTTATTTGATTAATACTTGGTTTCTTTAGTTCCTTTGATTCATTTTTTATTTTCTGATATATTGACACGGGTTTTCTCTGGCTGGAATATGAAGAATAACTTCGGCGTTGATCCATCGATTGATCGAATCAGTAGTGGGGAGGGGGGAGGGGGGAGGTAGTCAGCGATGACTACATGTGGATTCCTGTCCGGAGAAATGAGTAATACTCATACACATAATCATATCGTATTGCCAAAACAGCTGGTTATGGATCAATCACTGCGCTTTTAAGACTCGGCTAGATCCATTCGTTACTCAACTACGGTTATTGGTGCCGTTCGCTGATGAGGGGTACGAGAGGAGGCTTGCTGGCTTATCATGAATCACGCATTAATATATCGCCTATCATTTGAGCAGTAAACAACTTTTCGTGTACGTTTATTAGCTTAATAAGCTACGAATAATGTTAGTCTCGTACCCAGACCTTCAACGGCCAAGCATTATCAAGCATTTCGAAGCATTTCTTTACATTCCAGTTACAATTAAAAATTGAACTGTAACCAGGATGTGACATAGTGAAAAAGGTAAAAAAACGTTCTTTGATTAAAAAGGTTTTAAAATATGAGCTTTCGGCTATTATACCATAGCCTTTAACGAATGGCTATAGTAAGGCTATAGTATAATAGCCGAAAGCTCATATTTTAAAACCTTTTTAACCAGAGAACGTTTTTTTACCTTTTTCACTATTCCAGTTACAGTTACACGGTAGGATCTGGGCACGAGATTACTTCTAAGGGAGAGTCACTAAAGGAGGAGTTGGGCCGGTCAAAACCTGACTTCGTGAGGCCTGGCTCTCTACCGGACAGATCATGGGACAGGTGGACGATTTGTTTATGGTTTATTTATCAGAAGCTTCTATCATCGCTTTTTCTATGAGTAAGGGACTGGGTAAAGTCATTGGAAGGGTCTCTGAAGCCTCTAAGATCACCACAGTCTCTACTTCGACTTGTGTGAGGGGCGCTGATTGCTAAAAGCCTAGGTGACTAGGTTAATGATTGGAAAAAAATAACCACAGATGAATTAATCTATTTCTGACCACTTCTGTGTTCCCGGCAGAAAGGATAAATAAAGAAAAGAATAAATAATGTATGGAAGAAGGAGATGAATAAAAGACCTGCATTAAAGAAATAAATGAAAGATAAACTATAATAAAATAAGAGATCACAGTTCCGTAACATAATCAACTGCCTGGAACGAACCCGACGTGACCGTCCAGCATTGACTTGCGACACATCTTTCGCCAACAAGAAACGGAAATGATATCATCTTAAGAAAATGAAGCGAAGCGAACTATTTTACTCAATAACTTCCATTCCATATATCAGAATTTTTATCACTCCCATATATCAGAATGTTTATTATGTGTTACTACAGATCGCTAACGACAGGAATTAAACCTGTTTGATTATAACTCACAGATACGTTGGTAATTTTCCAGCAGATTAATTCGGATGACTAGTTGTAAGAACTGCTTCAGGGGTGAGGCATGGAACATTTATTCTCTGAGAGCATTTACTGACGTACAGTCATGCAAATTTTGTGCAATACAATTCAAAAGGGTAATTGCAATCGATCATGTGCTCGAGCAGTTTTTAATGCTTTTCATTTTGGTGAAACTTTCCCCTGAGACTTGAAGTTTCAAAGGTCAGAAATTGTGCACCTATGACTAAAAATTAATTAAGAAAAACAAGAAGTCATCTCACAGAACTAAACGGTACTAAAGAAAAAATAATTCCCGCGACCCTCTCCTCCGGTGACGAAATGAAGGAATCTGTGCGTGACATCACGCATTTTGCAACCGTTCAAGCGGCTAAAAATGCTAAAGAGGTTAATTCCCATAAATTTTTAATGACTGAAAAAGACGGAAGAGTGTCTTTTACAGTCGGTACAACACAGTGACGAATAAGCTTGTCGGCTACTTATGGAATGATCTCTCGTCTGAGGAGTATATTGATATCGAGAAGTTTGTTTACAACTCTATTCAAGTGATTTGTTTTCGTTGAGGATTGTGTGGTTGGCCGAAAACATCGCCAATAGTGCATTGTTTGATCGCTTTGTTTGAAGCGGTTTATTTGAAAGTTACACGCCATTGAATTCTATCTTCATAGGGAAACTGTTAATTCTTCTCTTTTAAACTGTACCAAAGGTAGAATTGAGGGGAGATTTCGCTTATTCCGACGGTAAGTAGTTTCATTTGCAAGATTTTAAGCGTTCAGTGATAGCGGGATATCGCCTTTCGTATCATTTCGATTTTTGCGGCATGGCCATGCTGTGCTAAGCGTCTCTTTAGTATGGAGCTATTTTTTTTCCAGAACATTCTCCGGATAATTTTGGCGTTTATATATTGGCTCGTCTTTTCTTATTTTGTCTGTCCCTTTTCACTCTATCGAAACTGTTTCAGTCTTTCTTGTCCAAACGATCTGTCATGGCCGCAAATGTTGATGTTTGTGGTTACCATGCCGAAAAAAGCACTTAGAAGTCGACAAGTCGCGATCTTTTCAGTGATTTACAACATTCTTCCTAAATGTGAAGTCTACAAATAAGGCAAGAAATATTTTCTCAGAAAATATATTTCTAGCTTTAAAATCCGCTTTGAAGGGAAAACAGCTCAGCAAATCGAATGGTGGCCCGAAAGCTTCCTTTTTTCCAGCTGTCAAAAATTGAATAGCCAGTCTTGCTTCCTGTGGTTTAAACTTCTCCCGATAAAAAACCAACAACCATGAAATTTTTAGACTTCGCCTCCAACAATTCGCTGGAAATGTAATCACTTAAACTCTACTTCGACTTCGTTGTTTTACAAAATGTAATGAATAGCCTACTAACTTTCAACAGTTCAGAAGCGCCTACGTGTACAAGCTGTTTTCATTTCCGCATTCAGCCGGACATAATTAAATTTCTTTCACTCTTGTAATCCCGTGGTTGTAAGCCATGTGTGGTTATGTTTGTACACAGATTATCTTTCGATTATTCTTGAAAGTGGGTTTTCAATTTCTGTTTGTTGTGCTTAGAACTGTATTTGTCCAATCGAATTGGAGAATAATGAAGCTTGCTGTCAAACACAAAAGTTCATCATCTATTAGATTCAGTTGTGACGGCTAATTTATTCATAAAGTGAAGATTTAATCACTATTCACCATTAAAAGCTAACAGTGGGTAAAAATTTATCCTGCTGTGTTTCTTGGTTTTATATAAATCCAAACAATCTAAAAATAAAAAAATAAAAATGTGGGAGGTATTTAAAGGGAACTTGATCAAGGCAGTCAAAATATTTTAACATGTAAATGAGTTAAAAAGTGAACAGAAAATGTGAGTTTTAAAGACTTTATACCTTCCTCTGTCCTGCTTGTCTTAATTGGAAGCTCCCTGTATCAGTTGGGTAGCTTTACTCACTGGTGGTAATAGCGAAGAGCGACGATTTAACCTGAGTTGAATTAAACTAGGTGAAACAATTGAAGGTGTAAGCGTCATTTAGACTGAACCATTTTATTGAAAATAACTTTACTTGGTTTGTACTCTTTAGATCTGATGTCTACCTCCCGGTACAGCCCTACAGAGAGTAGTTACTGGTCATCACCTAGATTGAAAATACCCATTAAGGCTGTTAATCTTGACTTGAATCACAATGTCGCAGTTTCACAAGCAACAGCTCCCAGCAAGTCTCTGAGTGAACCATCTTCTCCCCAGCTCTGGCACAAAGGTACTCAACACTTCCTCTCATTTGTCGGATATGAAAGCGTTAAAACAGAGAGTAATGCATATTAATTGTAAAAACATTTTGTAGAACATTATTTTTAGTTTTTTAATATATATTTGAAATAGTGTGAGATATTTGTATGATTGCATTATAGAAACATCTTCGATTTGTATTAAAAACTTCCTGTCATATATTAAACATTTGCTTTTCTTATGGTGCATAAAATTAAATTTTGTGAGATACTACTTTAAGTAAAATCTGCAGAATGGCAGTATTATTAAATGCTTAGTATGATCTTGAATTTATGATAATAATCAAACAAAATGTTTCCCAATAAAATAGCTGTGGCTCACTTCAACTATCACTTATGAAAATTATATTCAAAGTATGATGATTGTTTTGAATTTTTTCGGTTTTGTTTCCAGTTTCAAACACAGATCATGTCGAAGTTCAAAGACTTCCCGAAAAAAACCAAGCAGCTCACAGTGGTTCATTAAAAACAAGACAGAAACATATGACAAGAAAATACAGTGATAGTACTGAGCTAGCAGAGCTATTGGCTGAACACCAAGGGCGGCAATTAAGGAGTATGCAGAGTATTAACACTGGAATACAGCAGCCTTGGGGATCAAGCTCAAGACTTAATGAACTTCACATACAAACAAATGCCTGTGACAATGGATTTACTGGCTACACAGGACAAATGCCATTAAATAATGGAACAGTGATCCAAGCAAGTCATACTATGCCCACAGGTGAAGTTTTGCAGTAAGACTAAATCTTTGTACTTTAATAGAGGCTATATAAGATTGTTAAAACCACCAGCACCAATTTTTCTATTTTAGAAAGGCAGCGTTAAAATTAACATGCAAACTCATAGGTTCACAACCAAACTTACTCATTAACTAATGCTGTTGTCAATCAGTATTGGAACTAACAAAGCAGAAACAACCAAATTAAATAAAAATAACCAAGAATCTAGTCTCTAGAACCTTCTGAACATTTTGCTTTGTGAACACATTTTGAATAACCTGTTATGCATCTCCATTGCTGATAAGTTTATATGTTACAGAAAAGTGTCATAACTATTTTAGTTTCTGTTTTTATAGGGATGTCAGTCCCATCAACCAGGTCTACAATTTCATCTGGATACTCTGCACCCCATGGTCACATCACAAATGCTTTAACCTCACATCGACATAGCCCCCTTAATCTGATTGGAGAGGGTTACACAAGCTCATCAAGCTCACCTTCTAGATCCATTAGCCCATCCAGTGAGGACAGTGACAAGTGGAGCTCATACCTGAGAGCAAAAGATGAGCTTATTGGACAAAAAGATCAGATAATAGATAGGTAGAGTACTTCTTTAGATTCTGTTTCACAAATTGTAGTAAGTTTGTTGTACACACATCATGGTGGACAACATGAAAAAAAGGAATGTATGTCTTTCAGCAGATGGAAAAGATAATAAAAATTTCCACTAGAAAGTTTAAATTACAGAAATGTAGTGACTGATTGATTAAAAAATGTATCAGTTTTGAAAAGTTCCTGAAAGAGGTAGAAGAGCATCTGATTTCAGACTGGACTGAAATGTGACCTGTCTGTGGTCCAGCATAATGTGCATGAAAATCTACAAAGCACAGTAATTGGGTGAGGTTATCTACAATATACTTTCTTCAGAAGTGTACACCAAGTTTTTTTTTTTTTGAGACTTGATCTCAGCATAGTAGGCAAAACCCATTGCAATGCTGGCCATGATTACTAAAATTATTACTGTGCAAGTATATGGGGCCACCTTATGCTCTAAAATGCATGGTGAAAAATAAAGGAATAAATAGTTAACTTCATGTAAATCAATAGCTCTGAGACAAGTCATTCATGCATTTGAATTTTGTCTTCGCTGTACAATATCATGATTAGCCATAGGACATTTGGTTGATATTTCAATAGATTTTAAAGTAGGATTTTAATTAAATAGGTCTATCTTTTAATTGAAGAAGGTGTTCAATTGTATTTTCTGATAAATTTCAGAATTCTGCCATACAAGTTTAATCAAATTTTGATTCTTTTTTAATGTTTTAGACAAAAGCAGAGTATATTTCAACTTCAACAGCAGCTAATGCTTCAAACAAATTCAGCCATTCATCAAGCTGTGCCAACTCATTACCATGTTAGCCGAACTCAGAGCACAGGAGACAGCAGTTCATTGTCTTTAAAGCTACAAGAAAGTCAGTATGAGAATGCTCAACTAAGAGCACTTTTGTCAGAGAAGGACTCATCTCTTGACAAAGCTCAGAAAAAACTTGGGTGAGATTTACAGATGTGTTGTGTCCTTTTTGAATGTTTCTAGTACATATGTAATTAGCAATAGTATGCACTTACCCATTGCCAAAAACTTTTACTGAATGATTTACTAACAAGTGACTGATTGCAAGGTTGAAAAACTGCTGACTGCCTGGAGAACTTGGAACTTACATGAAATATAACTTACCCTTTACTATTTAAAAATTAGGAAACTGTAAAAGCTTGAGGTGTTGATTTTTACCTCCTGCATCAACAATCCACACAGCTTAAGAATGTTACATGTACATAAACAGCGGTTTGTTTTGTTGATTTAATAATGTTACATGACCAGCGCTTTGTTTTGTTGAAGAACTGCTGACCAATTCATATTGTGTCTGACTTGCAGAGAAACAGAATATTTGATGAAAAATATGGAGGCCAGCGTGAAGGATTCAGCTGCTTCAAATAGACAGGAACTCGAACTACAGAAACAAAAGGTAAATAAGTTGAAACATTTCCGTAACAATCAGCCGTAGACGTGATTATAAAACGTTTGGGAAAGATATCAAGTTTCAGCCAAAGTTTCTGTAACTTTGAAGTTTGAGCAAAGACCATGTACAAATAGTTTCGGGTTTACTTGAAAAGCGTTCTTTACCTCCGTGAATAGGCGATTAAACAAGAAAAAGCTCAGGCAGAGCTGACAAGTAAACTGGAACAGTTAGAAGAAGAAAAGTTAAAGCTCAAGTAAGTTATTTCTTACACATCGTGTTTAATAACTCCAGCGTTCTTACCTGTATGTGACAATTGTCTTTGTGTGGAGAGTTTTTCGCAATCGGTTTCCCTGCTCAAGGCTCATTCAAAACAGTTGTAACGGTTGTACTTGTGATATTCTCCTGTCCAATACCCCTATCCCTGGCGTTTGGATTAGGGTGTGTAGTTTAATGATTTTCTGAAGTACATAGATACTCTTTCCGATTAAAATGGTGAACGAAGTGTAGAGAAGAAGGGATCAAACAACCACGGAGGTTCCTACGAACTCTTTAACAAACTTCTTTCCAACTTTAAGTATCTGTGTAGGTGCTTTCTTTACCCTTCACCACTGTTGCCCTTTCCAAGAAGTAAGAAGCAATTTTTGACAGTCAAGATTGTGCCTCTTAATTATTTAACAATCGACAAGTTTTCGTAGTTACTCCGATATGAAAGAGCGATTAAACCCGGGATTTCCTGCCTACCCCCTATAACTTACCACTTGGATTCTCTGCATACACACCAATGTTTGTGCTTATTCTTGTGATCCTCCGCTGACCTCCCAGATCTCATGCTCATCTTCAGAATTTCCTCCATAATTTGTGACGATTCTAGAGATCCCCTTCACTCCAACCAAAATTCCTGCTTATTACTTTAATTCCCCGCTTACCATTCAGATCTCGTACTTATCCTGTGGATTTTCAAGTTACACCCTTGTCCATTTAAACTACTCCCTTTTTTGGTTCATTTCATTATCTAAGGATCAATATTGACTCTAAAAGTCTTCTAATAGAAAACACTGAAACTATTACGGCTCACATGGGATCCAATCGCTCTGACGAAGGGCTAACGCTCGAAACGTCAGCTTTTTTACCCTTTTACGGTGGCTAATTTACGTTTTCAACTCAGTTGTTAACACTAAATTACCTGCTACACTCTCCCACCGACGCAGCACCACAGTTTCTTTAGAAACTTACCCCTTTATTCAAGCTAGCTGACAGATGTGTTTCTTTTCTGTTCCTTTTGTGTGTGTGTGTTCTTGATAGGAGAGAAAAGCAGAGTTTGGAGCGGTATCTGAAGGAAGTGCCTACTGTCGAAGAATATCAGAAGTTAAATAAAACTATATCCATAGTAAACCATTGGAAACGTGCATGTAGATTTTAGTGCCTACGTAGCAATATACTTCGAGTTTAGATTACCGGTAACTATTGCACGACTGAACAGTTACTGAACAGTTATGTAAAACTTTTATTAACAGTGATAATGAATTCCTTTGTAATCCAGTGGTTAAGGTGTTGAACTCCAAAGCAAGTGGTTTGGGGGGGAGGTAGCCTCAGTCGTAGTCATGACAAGGGGTTCTTCAGCTGGTCGTTCAATCGAATTCAGAACTGAAATGCGTATTAGCGAAGGCTTTGGGAAGCCTGAAAACGATGGGAAAGTGGGTGATGACATTCCATCTACGACCCCTCCCCTAGCCTTGAGTAAGTATTATGAAGTCGTAGGAACTACACTGTGATAGTTCGACTTTAATATCTTCAAGAGTTTTTGTTTCCCTTAACATTTCTTACCTTAAAGATGTTCGTGATGAGCGTGAAAAATTGAGAGAAACTATATCCGCTAAAGACAAGAAACTGGCCCGCATGAATAAAGCTTTTGGAAATAAGGTAAAGTTTTTTTTCCTTATTTTGATGTTTCTCTTTAAGTTCGGTTCTTAACAGAGATCCAGTGACTATACTAGGGAGTTTTCTATAGTTATTTGAGTGTGGACAGACATAATCATGTTACCCCTTTATGTACTTCGCCCGAAACGTAGGTCTTTGCATATCTTGCTGCTTGTTTGTCCAATTGCCTGCCTGTAGTGATATTACCCCTCTCTGTATTCTTTCTCCACTGGTGTATTTTTGTTGCGTTGCGATGTAGCAATCCGCTTATTGCAGGCCTCTTTGTTATGTGAGTTAAGTAATTCTGGATTGCTCTGGTAAGGCTTCGCCTACCTTCGTGATTGGTTCACCCTCCCGCGCCACCTCTCAACCAATCAGACGCAAAGCAAAAACAAATTGCGACTTAGCTCTCCGCATTTTCCTGCTCTTCAGGCACCGCCTCGTTTAACTCTCATTTCTCATCCTTGTGCTATTTACCTTTCTCTGATTGGCTGTCGTGAGTAGTGTGCTTTTAGTTTCATAACATTTTCTAAATTTTCTTACGGTCGGACTTGTCTTCCTTTTTTCCTCAGGATGATGAGGCAAAGAAGTTAACAGTGGAAAATACTACTTTGAAAGAGAACGTGCAAAGGTACATACCGAGCCAGTTTATTTTCTGTGCCTATTAGGCCAGTTTTTGGTGAGTCGCTGGCTCAAGACGTGGGCACGACACAAGTTTTAAGGGTAGCTGCTCAAATTTTGAGTTCGTGAGCAAGGTCTTTTATCAAGCTGGTAGCCTATCCGAGGCCCTATTGTAAACGGGCCCACAGAAGAGGCTTCAGCCGCTGTGCAGATTTAGGCTCATACGACTCAACCATGTTTGTTTTCAGACTTCAGGTGTCTCTTGATAAAATCAGCAACGATGGTCCCGTGTCACTCATAAGCTTTGAAGATCTCAAGATGGAGAATGAAAGGTTACAGGTGGAACTTGACCGAACGAAAAAGGTAAACTGCCAACCTTCACCAATACCTTTTTTAATTTTTTTTTTGGACATTTTTTAATCCAATGTCACTTCCGCGGGACTGGGAGCGAGTCTGGTCCTGCCTCGCGAGAAGATTAGGATCAAGTTGCTGTGTTATCAAGTTTGCTGGTGAAGCTCAGAGTTTTAGAAGAAAGAATTGCTTAGAAAGAATTCATGTGGTGAAACTTTTGTTTATGGTGTGGTTGTGGGTGCGTGTGTTTGTGTTTGTGTGATTTTTAACAAACCAGGTTGTCACAGCCATTCAGAAATCTGTTTCCTACCAGACTAATAATAGGGTTCAATACTATTGAATGAAATGAGTCCACTCGTTCCTTTCTCTTTATCTGTGGCTGGCCGTATCTTCCTTGTTTCAACTTTTTTCGTTTGTTTTAAGGGCTTCAATCTCTTTCCGTAGATATAATAAATGATTTGTCCTTCTGCCTGCTGTACAGTTCTTTGTGAATTAAAGATATTGGTTTTTTAATCTAAGGTTTTACCTCAAAATGATAAGTTTGTTAATTCTTGAAACCTCGTTGCCGGATAATATATTGATATTGTTAGGTGAATTAAGTGTCTATTCTTGTTCATCACGTCTGGGATTGAAAGGGTTGAGAAAATGAAGTATACGTCAGTCATGGTAAACGTTTCTTTTCCCATTGATTTGCTTCTCGTTTTATCGAAATAATCATTGCGACATTTTTTCTTTTCTAAGGCGTTAGAAAACAAGCACAAGAAAATGAAAACTCTTCATTGTCAAACACAGAAGGAGCAAAAAAGCTTGGAGGAGCGATTAACGCAAGAGGAGGTATGGAAAGAGATAAGATCGCAAGTACAGCTGAACTGAACCCACTCTGGGGTGTGTAATTTGAAAAACTTAGCTTCATCATCTTGGTTTGATTCAGTTTCTTAGAAGAGTAGTTTGGTTTGAACAGAACGAAAAAACCTGATACACTTGTTAGCCATTAGAGGGTTGTGGAGTGGATAGCGGAGAGTATTGCTGATAATGAACGCAACAAAATCCTTGCCCTTGTCTTGGCAGGAAATGGTCCATGCCTTGCGGGATGAACTTGTTGCGAAAGAAAATTCACTCGAAGAGGTCAGGAAAGCAGTTAAGGAGGTGAGTACAAATATAGTTTCCACATTGAATGCTTTTGAAGTCTGGTTTGAAATTCGCACCGGCTCTCGCTTCCTTTACAGCCGTGGCACACTTCACCCTTTCACTCCTAAGATCTCTTTAGTAATTCTCCCAACTGTCAGCCATACAACTCTCATGATTTTGGTTCAAAGAATTTGTTATTGGATCATCTAATAATCCCCTATAGTTGATATTTTTCTTTATTCTCATCACTTGTCTCCTTAAAGTGGACTGATGTTGTTAGGAGAAATTCTTTCTTGGTCACTCGTGGGAGTTAAAAGGTTAAACGTAGATGCACAATTGCACTGATATCAGTGTGCTTTTTTTTTCGGTTTGGTTTATCATGAACTTTACTAAGCCAGAATAAGGCAGCCACTGCCTGGAGTTCAATTCAGTTGAGTTCACGCGTTCGTTGATGTAAGGGAACTGAAACAGAATGGTAGCATGTAAGATTTGGATTTCTCTTTGAGACCTCACGAGGATCGCTTTATCCGATATGAAATGAGACTGGTTGGTAGGGGATGGCAAGAAGGCCACAAAGGGGATGGTTTTTACGCAAAAATCAGTAATTCCTGCCTTTGATGGTATCCTTTTGACATTGCACTGTATTTCACCTCTGTTTTAAAATATCTCATTTCCAGATTGCTTCTCACAATCAGGATTTGTTGGAAGAGAACTTAAACCTTCAATGCCGTTGTGAGCAGGTAAAAAAATTTCTATGATACATTGTTTTGTTGCCTTCAAAGTTGAGGTTTCATTGTTCCGTTTAGTACTCTCGGCTCGACTGAGTCTTTACTCTGAGTGAGGTCTTGATCGAATTTACAGCATTAGTTCAATGGTCGCCACAACAAGTTTTTATTTTTCATTATATCATTATTGAGAGTGGACTCAATGGTTATAATCAGGAAGTGCTGTGCTGAATAAAGGACTAGTCGTTATTTACCCCTGGGGGAGGGGGGGTGAGGATTTTCAGGGATCACCTGGTTTTCAGTGGGGAGATCAGGCGTCGCCAACATAGTATGGAGAGGGTATTGAATATTGACTGCCATCAATGTTACAGAGCCTTATGAGGGGTCAGGTGAATTTTATCGCGACTACCAAAATCCTCCAATTCCCCCCCCCCCCCACTAGCAGTATATTATAAGTCTCCTATCTTAAGCCCTGAACAAGACGATAGCAACGCATCACGTGATTGACTTGATATTTTCAATTTTGTTATAGTTTGTTCTGAATTTGTTTTTTTCTTTTACAGTTACAAATATTGAATTCGAAAGAAAAATTAGAATCTCAGAGAAAGCTTTGGAAAGAGGTATGATATTACGATGTGAAGGTTATCACGTTGTCACGTAAAACATGCAAGGTCACGCTCTCTATAAAGATTGTTGCTGAAGTAGGAGAAACATGGGGAAATGAAAAATTGGGAAATTTTATTGAAATTTTTCAGAATTATGTAGTTGCAGCTGTTAAGGCACGCTAACCTTTATCTTACTCATGCTTCGAAGGTGGCGTTTTAATTGATTTTTTTATATAGAGATGGTTATGGTAACTTCCTTTAATGCAAAACTTTTATCTCCACTTCATTACTGTAGCTTTCTGAATGTACAGCGGAACTCACGGCTGTGGTGCAAGTTTGTCGGGAAAGAAGAGAAGGAAAAGATCCTGACATGTCTGTTTTGCTTGGGCTCAGATGTGAGTTGGCATTTCATCGTTCTTTTTAATCAGTTTGTTTTTTAGTTCGTTTTGAGCATTAGCACTTCCTCTGGAGAACGGAATTCGCTCTGACGAAGAGCTAACGCGCGACATGTCAGCTTTGAAACTCTATGCGGTGGCCAATTTACGTTATCAACACAGTTGATAAAACCAAATTACCTAGCAGACGATTTTCAGTCGACCGAGAGAGACCGGCTAGAACTGTTGAGCCAAGTCACTAGCGGAAAGTATCGTGGCCAGTGGACCAGTGTGCAAAGAGAAGCGATAGTAAGGGACTGGGTCTTTGTGCATTTTGAAAATTAATTCCTAAATTATTCAAGTTTGTCGCCTACTATCCTCTTCGTCAATTCGTTTCTTTCTTCGCCGTAAACAAGCAAGTACTGGTTTCCTAAAACTCACGGTATTGCTTGGCACAGCTTGGGTAATTTTGCGTGAGATGCCTGAAATTTGTAAGAGCAACTGTTGAGTTTGGTGCGTGGGAATGCAGAAACGTTTAAAACCTATCACACTCATGCTCCTTTACTTTCTTTTATTGCTTTCCAGCAACTTCTATGGATGAAGACGACAGCGAAAGCAAAGACACGTCCGATGACGTCGATGCCGTAAAATCGAAAGTAAACCAAGTTCAACGACTACGGTCAGATGTGGAAGACTTACGGAAGTTTATCTCCGATCAATATGCTGAGGACATTGGAAATAACTGCAGGATGCAATGATGAAAAGAAGTGTTTGGAATTTGTTTCCACTTGCGGAGGGTCAAGCTAAGTGCTCATCGCGCAAATTTAGCTGTGGCTTAAAACGATTGGACCATGCAACCTGACAAGGAGTGGTGATTATGAGTGGTCCGTGCAACCTGGCAGGAGAGGGGTGGCTTAAGACGAGTGGTCCGTGCAACCTGGCGGGAGAGGGGTGACTAATACGAGTGGTTTGTCTAAGACATACAAAGCCAGAGCAACGGCTTCGCCAACAACTGTAATTGCAATCCACTTTGTGAAAGGTTCTCCTTCGTTTTTCTTCCATTCGAGTTCGTGTGATAGTTCTTCTGTTTCGTGATATTCTTGGACCAAGACATTACAACCAGTAGTTTATATTTTCTTAAAAGAAGAGTTGAGTAGTGCAGACAAAGAAAAGTAATGTAGTCAAAGTCAACACATATGCTGTAAAGAAATGGATAGTATGAAAGAGAATTATTAATGTCACTTTCGAATATATTTAAATAAGCACTCTAATTGCCTGCCTGCGAGAGGCGGATGTGTTCTTTATTCTATGTGTGAGGGTGATTTGGCCAGTGCGTGTCACGCGTGATTTGGCCGGTGCGTGACAAGAGGTTGCAAGAAAAACGAGATCACAATTCGCGCAGTTCAGTCCAATTTACTATTTGTCATAAGTCAAAGATTGATTGATTGTTTTTTGTGTTTTTGTGCAAGTGAAAACTCAAGTAATAAGGAAATCGCCATCTCCGAAAGGAGACTAAATTGTGATAAATAAAGTCAACAAGGTGAAAACTGTATAACGTGTCTCCTCAGTGGCAGCGTGGAAAGAGTCGGGTAACGGTACCACGTTATCAGTTTAAATTTTTCGCCAAACGGGAAATTGCACTTCACTGCAGTTATGTTGGTGAAACACTGGTAAGGAATGAGTTGGCCAAATAAACTAACGAAGGAACAAACGATTAAAATGAGTGAGCAAGTGAATTAATAGATGGTGGATTGGAGTATATGAAGGAAAGAAAAAAGACAGAAACGGACCAATGAGTGAAAAATTTTCGTGGTAGGGCTTGCGAAGCAGTCTTATTTCCTTTAAGTCGAAAAGGGGTCAACACCGTGCGCAGTGAACATATTAGTTGCATCTTCACGAGTGATATCAATGTCGTCCTGGTAACCGGGTCTGTCAACACGGTCATTTTTTTCAGAGGGTTTTAAATCATCTACCAACGTTACTTGGATAGAAATCCGATTTTTTTTTTTAAGGGGAAAGTGCTTCTTGATAAGAGAATTTGTTATATTTTGTTCTCGGAAGTTGAAGTAGCTGTAGTGAGAGCTGAGTTCACGGCAGGTGATCTCTGCATTCAGCATTCGGTGCTCTTAAAATTGTCAAAAATTAAAATATGTAATCAGCCTTTCTCTCTACGACTTAAAGCATCCTCTACATAAGAAAAAAAATGTAAGCTGCCGTACTAGTAATGCTTTAGGAAGAAAACCTTCCTTCGAGGTAAGTCTTATCGTTTGATTTTCCATCACTCGACCTTCTAATTTATAAAGAGATCTTAAACCAGTCCTCAACATCCAGAAAGACTCCATCCGACCATTATTGCTTCCAAACTGTCATTTCTGACAACTGTCAATTATATCCTGAAAATGTCGACACATTGTGTTTTCTAGCTGCTTACTTTTGCGTAGGAAACCTAACTACCTGATAAATAATTCATATTAGGTTTATAAAACTAATTGGGGCGCACCCCATTTCGGAGGAACGAAAACAACCGCATTGAGGGCATCTCGAATAACGATGAAGTTCTTTGCGCTTCTATCCGCGGGTTCAATGATCTACTTCCTCGTCCATATTTTAGATTGTTATGTTTGTGCAGAGACTGGCCAGTTCGGTCTCCATCGCCAACCGAGGAGCATGTCAAGACAAGCGCAGTTCGTGGAGCATTCTAATCATTTCCTGGATGTCCCCAAAATTGAAGGAATTGCTCTTCCATCAGATACAGACTGCCTCTTAAGATGTATGAGGAATGATCATTGTTTCTCCCTTAACGTTGCTGCGTTTTCCCTACCGAACGGAAGTACATCGTGTGACTTACTTTCTACCGACAAGTACAATGCATCTGACAAGTTCAAAGAGGATCGCACATCGCATCACTTCAGCATCATGGTGAGTAACGCTCCTGCGATAAATGTTCCACTTCTTATTCTTCTTCCTCGTTCTTCCTCTTTCTTCCTCGATTCTTTTCTTTTTCCTCTTCTTTTTCCTCCTTTTCTTCTTCTTCTTCCTGTTTATACACCGATTTTCTTCTTCTTCTCGTTCTTCCTGTTTACACACTGCTTCCATGCAGTTGAGATGTTTTATTCCCGCTCTAAGTTTGGCAGAGTTTTCTTATTTACAAAGCACTTGAAATACCTGTGAGTAAAAGAAGAACTTTTTAAGGTGATTTCGTCTGGTCTGTGGTAATACGCCGTTTTTTTCCGGGGTGTTCGTTCAACTGTTAAACAAGCATATATGGACGGCTCGGGTCGGTATGAAAAGTTGAATATTCATATTGTTTTTATTTTGTCCAAATTTGTGGTGATGATCTGAAATGGCACCTGACGATACATGGTCGTAATAAGTCGCCGACAAAAAATTCACCCTCTTAACACGTTTTGCTTTTCTCTCGGCGATAAAAACTTGGCAACCTCCCGATTTTCTTTTTGCGTTTGTGTTGTGTCTGTTCGGTACTTTTATCATGTTCAATAGTTCTTAAAGACAGTAGAGGGAAAAAAACAGACGAAACCAGGGAGTTTTTTGTTCGCAAAAATAACACTAGCTGTTGATAGGGTAGTTTAGTGTTAACAACCGAGTTGAAAACGTAAATTGGCCAACGCAAATAGTTTACCACCGTAAAGAGAAGGTGAAATTATAAGCTCATTCATCGTGACAAAGAAAAGACATTAGCCTAATGGCATCTCGTCTCGCTCGACAGTATTAAATTTATTTCTTGCGTAATGATACAGTGTATCCGGTCTGCGCCAAGCCAAGCTAAGTAAGAGTTCAGTTTCCTTTCTTCGAGTTCATAAGCTCACAACCATTACTTTGGTGTTGAAGAGGAGATGAGATGAAAAGAGGGACTCCGAAACGATCTGAATTTTCGAACCGGTGAAATATGTCCACCTGAAGGAAAGTTCGTCACCTGAAAAACATCTGCGTTAGTGATTATCATAACGTACGTCATCTGTTTGAAGTCTGAGGACAAATTTTTTTAGTTCTTGCTTATTTAACAACCACAAAAAATGTTTTTCTTCGTAATAAACTGGAAGCTCAGCCCGCACAAAATAGACTTTTCGGGATTACACAAGGAGAGACGTTTGGAGAAATTTCAAAATTACAGACCAATTGTTTTATTTCGTGTCAGGGGCCCAATGGGCTCCTGTCTATGTTCGTTGGTCAGTATGAACGACATTAGCTCGTATTTTATCTCTGTCGAATGCAAAGGCGGCAGATGAAAACCTTCCTGGTTTGTTGATAAGCTAAAGCCGGGGAAGGAGGTATGAAATGTTCACCAAGATTTAAGGTACTGATTGGTAAATGTGTACGCTGGTGAGAACCTGCGGTTACAAATCAAGGAAACAACACTCATCTCTCGAAGTGAAATGAGAGGTTTTTGAAGATAAACCATGAATCAGGCATATTTTGCATCGGGTGGTCGAAGTAAGGGGGGGGAGGGTGAGAAATAACCTGGAAATTGTAAGGTAATAGTAATTATTATATGTACCATACGGTTCCGCGCGCGCCTTTATTGAAAGAAACATCATTCCCCGTATGAAGGCAGCTCAGACAATTTTGCGAAATTAAACGAACGACTAATAATCCATTTCGCAAAAAAGTATCCCTCCCAAAATTACTATTTTGCGAAATATATTTTAAGAAATAAGAGGAGGCCAAAATCTTTGGTGGAATACTACTTAGTAATATTTATATGGTCTTTTGTGACATGAAAGAGGTCACGTTGTCACCGGAGGGTGAAAATAGTCGATTTCGCTTAACAGTTACTCTAAAATAGTAAAATAGAATAAGTATGACAAGCCATAATGGACAAAAGTGGTCGAGATTTTTTTTTCGAGTCGAGAATTTTTTTCTCGAGTCGAAAATCTTTTTTTCCGAGTCGAAAATTTTTTTCATGGAGTCGCAAGGCAACCATAAAGGACCAAAGTTAGCCTACGAGTAGCCGTGCCCTACCCCGATGGCCTCCGTTTCACCTTGGCGGAAATAGGGTGCGGCTACACGTAGGCTAGACCAAAGTGGTCGAGACTTTTTTTCGAGTCGAGAATTTTATAATCATGAGATCATTATCAAAGAGCAAAAAAAAAAAATTCACGATAACAAGTGACAAAACGAAAACAAAGGGAAAAATTTGCCCCAATAACAACAATGTATAAAAAAGCTACGTAACCAACAGATCTGCAGATCGCCATATTGTTTGATCATTTTGGCGGCAAATGACGGCATGGCATGCTGGGTATTCTCGACTTATGAAAAAAATCTCGACTCAAGGAAAAAAATTCTCCACTCGGCAAAAATATTCTCGACTCGAGGTAAAAATTCTCGTCTCGGAAAAAAAGATTCTCGACTCGAGAAAAAAATATCTCGACCACTTTTGTCCATTATGGCTTGCCATAAATAAGCCCATAAAGGCGGTACGGAATGACGTGAGCAGAGAAAAGCTTCGCGTACGGTCCCGTGAGATGTAAGCTAAAAAAGGAAGACAAGGAAAGAGCGGCGTTCACACGATAAAGTGCTTATTGACCCAGTCAGGTCGGGCTGGATGGGAAAATATTTGGCCTTCCTACCAGGCCTGGGTTGTTCAAAGCTGAGTTTAGTTAACCCAGGGTCAGTCTGAAAGTTGATTTCGGGTCTGAAAGCTTTAAAAGGAAATACAGTTCAAATCTTTTTGCTTGCAATTTGATCACTGGATGTTCTAACGAGAGTAGGGAAAATTGTCTCTGAAAGGTTTTTGAACAAAGGAATAAAGAAACCCGGATTAAAATTTACCCCTGAGTTAGCGCTAATCGGCCTTCGAACAACTGGGCCCAGGCCAATAAATTCATATAACTCGTAAACCGTTGCAACGAAAGCCAGAACGAAACCGGCGACTGAAAAGACAGCAATTACCTTCTCTTTCGACAAAGATGTCTATAACACAGTGGTGTCTCAATTTGTCGGAATATTCTAACTTTTTCCAGAATCCTTGTGAAAACTTTCCTTGTCAGCACGGTGGAACATGCCACGCAAATTACGAGACATACGACTACAGCTGTGCTTGTGAGCAAAACTACACTGGGAACAACTGTGAAATACCGATTCGTAAGTAAATTTTGTAATGGTGTTTTCTACACGATATCTTACTGGACTTTTTAACTTAACAACAGACTATAAGATAAGCTGACTTCGCTCTAAAATTTGTTTAACGTTAGCGTCTTACAGTTGCTGTTTGGCTCTAAGCCCTTGGTTTTGCATCTTGTAGAAAGGCAGAGAATTTTGTTACTTTCCTCTTATTTCTCTGGAGAAGAGGCAAAAAAAAAAACTACATTTATTCTGGGTCTTTTGTTTACCGTATTATTTACAAATTTCGTCAGGTCGAGACTGTTTTTATCTTCTGAACGCTGGCCACAATCGGAGTGGAGTGTACTATGTCGACCCTGATGGTAGAGGACACTTCAGTGCTTACTGTGACATGCACACTGACGGAGGAGGCTGGACCGTGTTTCAGAGAAGACAGGATGGCTCGGTAGACTTCTATCGGAATTGGAGCGACTACAAAGTTGGCTTTGGTCAGCTGACTGGTGAATTCTGGTTAGGAAACGACAAGATCCACAGGCTGACGGCTGCTCTACCCAAGTCCCTAAGGGTGGACCTGGAGGACTGGAACGGAGTTAAAGCGTATGCCAAATATGGAAAGTTTGACATCGGTGATGAGCAGCTACACTATCGACTTGATGGGGGTTCATATTCAGGGACTGCTGGGGATTCGTTAAAATATCATTATAACATGGCGTTCAGCACAAAAGATAGTGATAATGATTACTATTATCAAAACTGTGCTGTAATGTATACTGGAGCATGGTGGTATAGAAGGTGCCAAGATTCCACTCTGAATGGAAAATACTTGGGAGGAAACAAGCGTGGTTACGATGGAATCCTGTGGGGTGACTTCAGAGATCGACTTTCCCTTAAATTTGCAGAAATGAAGTTGAGGCCAGTATTGTAGAAACAACATTAGCTGCATGTGTGATTCTGTCAGCAACCTATGTCACTGTTTTGAATTGTCAATAATTGGCAATTGTATAAAACGGTATTAATGACTTAAAATTTTTCATCTCTAAACTTTAAGATAGACGTTGTCAGTTTAGTTATTTAACCTAAAAGACAACATTCAGTTCAAAAGTAAGCCCATTTTACTTCAATGGCCAACATTTGAACAATAAAGTAACATGGAAACTGCAAGCAGTCTTTTTCTCTCTCCACATGGGATAAGGACTAAGATCAAGTAATTATCAGAATGACGATAGATTGGGATGAGGCAGGACAGATGCAGCATGAAAGGGTAAAGGTAGAGTTTGTACTCGAGCTAAGTTTGTGCTCATTTAATATGAGCACAATTGAATAAATTGAAAAAAAAAGTTTTCCAATGACTCAACCAGAGGTATGTTGTTGAGATGTTCTTAAAATTTTAGGTTGGCTTATTCTCAACTCTGTCATGGTAAAGAGTGCATCTAAACAAATTTCCCAAGTGACACTTCACATGTTAATTGTTTAAAAATAATACAGGTAAAAGATCTAAATAAAGTTCCATAAGCAAAAGCCTGTGACTGTTCTTGTGAACTGGGATTTTCCATTTAGAAGGCAAAGAGGCAAGGAGGCTAGCAGGTGAGGAGGCAAAGAGACAAGGAGGCTAGTGAACTGGGATTTGGAGGCAAAGAGGCAAGCAGGTCCAAGGATGCTAACAGGTTAGCAGGTAAGGAGGCAAAGAGGCAAGAATGCTAGCAGGTAAGGGGGCAAAGAGGCAAGGAGGCTAGCAGGTAAAGAAGGCAAGGATGCTAGCAGGTAAGGAGGCAAAGAGGCAAGGAGGCTAGCAGGTAAGGAGGCAAAGAGGTAAAGAGGCTAGCAGGTAAGGAGGTAAGGAGGCAAGGAGGCTAGCAGGTAAGGAAGCAAGGAGGCTAGGTAGAGTGGTCAATTAAGTATACAGTCACGTACAACATAAAAAAACAATCAAACTTAGAGAAGATAAACAAATGCAGTCTCTTCCACCAGATTTCTCCTCATTCTAATCCTGACCACTGGTGGTTGTAATTCCAGTACTGGTGGTTGTAATTCCATGTTTTCTTTGAACCCTATGACAAGATGGTCCAGGAATTACAATTCGCGATTTTCTGTGCAGGGAGGGCACTTGTTCAGCCAAGAGAGTACCTCTCTAAACCTTATTTAGCCAAGTAAATTGCTGATGACATTTCTTTTAATGTGAGGCGACCACGTGACAGCATCATTTTGATGACAATCTAAGAAAAAAACAATCAATCAGTCAAGCAATGTAATTGGTTGATGTAAATTATTGCACCCAACAGTGTAACTTGGAAATTTAGAAGGGTCTTTAATTTTATGCATTAAGGACAATCTGCAAAAATAAAGGCTGGTTCGTAGTTACAACATAATGAAAAACACCATAGCATAGTGAAATACCAGTCGTTTTCTTCATGCTGACCTTGTAATGTTGCTATAATTGTACACCTGCATGTTCGCATTAAAGAGGTAACAACCTCCATATGTTATGCGCTTTCCTAGCTTGTAAGAGAAATTAAGTCCACTGAAAGAGTGGTATCATTATTGGTATTGGCCATCCTTAATTTAAACACCTCTCGGCATTTAAAGATTTTAAAGTAGAAAACGGGGAGAAATTTAAGGGTCTTTCATCTAGCAATAGTGTTACGATTTTCTTTCGGGACATCTAGGGAGGGTAAATTGGAAATACCCCCTAGAGATCCCCTACATTGTTAAGTAACTGAAACTTACCTCTTCCTTTTCGTGCTTGTTTTTCTTGAACTCTGATCTTGCCCAATCAGCAAGTTCTTTCCTGTGATCTTCATTTTCCACCTCACGTAACGTCTTAAAGATTTCACGATAGAGACTCAGAACTTGCTTTCTAAGAAAGAACTTCAAAAGGAAAAAAACACACGATCATCAAATCTACCAATAATTTTTTGCATAGCAAAGCAATTCGTCAGATGTTGCTGTCACCTGTTTTAAAGAAAGCGCATTTGAAGGTAACTTTCCAGCAGCCATTTTGAAATGCTGGCTAACCGAGCCTCCATGGGATGGCATAGGATCTGGGGCGAATCCTTCCTTGGAGACGAAACCAATAACAAACATGGCGGACGAGAAGCGCAAAAGTTCTTCTCTAAAAAATTTGCTCGAAACTGTTTACGAAGTACACAGAAAAGATATTAAAACATATACAAGTGGTCACCTGAACTCTAGTAAGCTCTTGAAACCTCAACACCAACGCCACGCCAAATGGGAGAGTTCAGATAAACCTCCAGTAAGGTGAGTTAAGCTGAGAAGGAATTTTTACGATAAAAAATATTGCGAAAGAACATTTCACTGATTGACACTCACGAAATAACTCTTTGTTGAAAGTTCCGTGTAAATTTGGCTTTCATTTTTTTCATTACATATGGATCCTCAACTTGCCCTGAACTGTCATGTTTTTGCAGAAAATTTGAAGTACAAGTATTCATTAAGATCTACGTAGTAACCCTCCACACTGTCATACATTTTTTCGATTCTTAGCTCTTGGAATTTGATGATAAGACATTACATTTCCTCTAGTTGATGTTTCTCTGACTTTCTTCTCATCAATTTTAGCTTTCTCCTTGAAAATATATTATTGAAGTGATATCGTGAGAATTAAGAGTTCCTCTCTGTAATTTGTCACACTTGGAAGTGAAAGGGTTAAAGTTAAGGAGGCAGGAGGCAGGAGTCCGTAGGCAAAAAATCTGAAAAAGCTATTTGTCCAAAGATTCAGGCCAGAATAGTAGGAGTTATATAAATTTATGTTAAGTTTTAGTGATTGATCCTAATTTCTCATTAATGATAAACTTTATTATTTTAAATTGCAGACTTAAGTCTCCCAGCAAGCTTGTTGATCTCCCAGTGAGAAGAGGTGAATTAAGTTCTACGGAACTCAGACACAAGACAATGGCAGATCGCCTGGTCGAGTTTAGCCTGGGGCCAATCAGAAATATTGCACTTAACAGTGAGTATTACCAGCAATCTTGTAGATATTAATTTTATTCTGCAGTGAAGTGAAAATCCAGGAAGTTATTCTGCACTTGTAGACAGGTTTAAGGGCTGGGTCATAGCGATTAAGACATTTAACCCCTTTACTCCCAAGATCTGATTGTTAATTCTCCCCTCTAGCTGCTACTCATTTCCTTGTAAATTAGTTATGAGAATTTGGTACTAGATCAAAGTAACAACTTCTAGCTGATAAATTTGGGTATTCTCATTACCTGTTTGCAGGATAATGTATGGATATTAAATGAAGAGGTTGCATGTTAATCACTTCTGTGAGTTATTGGGTTAATGGTTTCTATTAATTCCGTTTGTATTTGTGTGTTATAATACTTCTGGACTTGAAATTAAATATACTCCTCTTTACCAAATGGGCTCTGAATTAATTTCACATATAACAAGAAATGCTTTTTTTCCTCAGATTTTAAATAGTATTTTGTACAAAATGGTAGACAACAAGAAGAACAAGTGTACCACCCCAACTATGACATTATTTTCAACATTAGAATTAACTTTTTAAGTACGATTGGTTTACTGTATTTATTTTGATGTTTTATTTTTTATTGCTCAACAGAATCAGAATCAGGACTAGATTTAGCAGAAGATTTTGATGAAACAGTTAGGAGAAAAGAGGGAAAATCAGACAAACCTACCAAAGACAAAACATATGTAGAGGAATTGCATCTGCCTGAGATAATGATCCCTGTAATGAAAAAGAAAGGTAGGAATAACAGATGATTTTTATAAGAACACTATCTGAACAATGCTTAAGGATCATTTACAATTATCCTTTTTTCAATTCAGAACACCCTAAAATGTCCACCCTTAGGTTTGATTTGGTTGACTAGGTTACAGTTTATATCTTACTTGGAAATTGTCCAATCCCCAACTCCCCAAACTTTATTGTCTAAATTTGGGAGAAATGTTAAAACCTTTGTCTTCTATCAGTGAAAGATGAAAGGAAGTTGAATTTTGTGCTAAGTCTTCAGTGGATATAGGGACCTGCTACATGTAATTGACCCTCTGAATTCTGAACTGAAAGGCTTGGGTATTAAGCCCTGCCTTAGTGTAGTGAAGCATGGTCATGGTACTTCTGGCAAGAATTCCAGTCTCTCTCCAGGCTCTACCACTCATTTAAAGGTGTAAATGGGTGACAGAAAACTGTCAAGGGAACCTAATAAAATGTTTGGGGGAAGGTAATCTTTGATAAACTAGTTTCCTAACCTGGAGGAGAAGCATCCTCCCTAAGTTGCCTTTTTCTTCAGAAACTTTAAACAATTACAAACAGTATTAACAGTTGAATGGATGTCAGTCTCATACTTGATTTAGTTATCTTGCAGACTAAGCCTCGGAGATAAGAGTTAATAATGAATGTCCACTCTTTTGATATCTTAACCTTTAGAAAGCTCTGGAGAAAAATCAAAACCAGATGACCAGCACCACACATTTGTGAAGACTTATTTGAGCTATCCTACCAAGGCAGACCAGTTTGAAAGCTTTAAGAAATTTGGTGACCAGGTCATGAACCTAGGAGATGCTCATGATCGAGGTGTACTCACAGGAGAAAGGAGTGTTCGAAATTTGGAGCATAGACTGGCAAAGGTATTTATTCAGATTTGTTTGCCTATGCTTGGAGTTATTTATAGGTTGGAAAAAATCAGGCTGAATGCTGAGGTAACAATTTACTTTTATCCCATTATTGTACTCACAAAATCAACCATTGTGAATCTGTTCTACTTTTTTGGGGGATAAAACTGTTATAGAGACAATAGTTTCGGAAAACCATTTTGTGCATCACACACTTTGGCAAATTGTTAAACACTCAACATCATGGAGCAGTCACTTGTCTTCATATGTTTCCCAGACTTTCCCAGGTTTCTTCATTATTTGCTGTACTGATGTTGACAATGATCTCTCCCTATGCAATATTTGGGTTTGTTGTCATCCACACAGCTGTACACTATGCTCAGAGCTTACTAACTTAGTAAGCCCTTAAAGGGTAGATAGATAGAACTTGCTGTAGGTAGTTACCAGCTTTATCCAATGGTAACAAACTGGTTAATAATCAGTCTGAGTCATTAAATCACCTTGTGAAACTAAAAATAGTGCACAAAATATGATTTGACAGCTGTATTTTCTTTGCCTATTAAGCAACTTGCTTCTTTGGAAACCTCAAGTCAGAAAGGACCAAACTTTCATAGACTGCAGATTTATGATAGATGTTTGGCTGAGATTATTGCAGAATCCAGGACATTTGGTCCTCTTCTACAAAGAATCAAAGTGAGTTTACTTAGAGTTATGGAGTATGACTAGTAACTAATCTGAATTTGGTATATTATGAGCTTCACAAAGTAGCTGCAAAGCTCTTGATGTAGCATCTATATCTTGAAGCAATTGATTTAAGCAAAAAATTGTAACCCTTTAACTTCCAGAAGTGATAAACATGTAACTTCATCTTTTAATATCCATGCATTATTCAGCAAAAACATAATCTTGATCTAACGTCAACTTCTCATAACTAATTTATGAGGAAATGGACAGCAGCTAGAGTGGAGAATTAACAATCAGATCTTAAGAGTTAAAGGGGTTTGCCAGCAAGTGCCTCAAGTGGAGCTTTGGTGTCTAGGATTTTTTTGTGTGGAGCAGCACTTGCATGACAGGATACCATCCATGACACTGGCTGGAAAATTGCCATAACTGACAAGCTAGCCTTGGGTAGCCATTCCATCCTTTTCATTCAATGAGGCAGAGAAAAAGACTTGACCTGTCTTGTTTGAATTCTAAATGACCTTTGAGCTATCCATCAGAGAACCTTAAAACTTAAAGAATGAAAGCTTGTTGGGTGCATGTCACAACAAGGTGGCATCAATACTGGTGTCACACTCTAGAGTGAGACCAATGACCATTTACACGGAGGAGTCAAATCCAGATTGCATGAGACTCAATGTTTGGTACTTTACTCAGGCAAAAAGAGATTAATGCTTGTTGTTGCTATTTTGATGGCTCAAAATTGAACTGTTCAAGCAATCCAGTAAGATAACACAAGAGTAGTTGAAACTGAGAACTGATCATTGAATTTGATAGGTATAATTAATTTTTTTACTTCACAGGATGAGTATGACAGTTACTTGACATATTTGTTAGACACACAAAAGCCGTCGCAACACAAAGTGCTTTATCATCACATTAACAGCTTCTCAGAAAATGCATCCACCTCAGACAAACTAAAAGCTGAAGAGAAAAGAGTTGAAACTCTGGAAAGAGAAGCAAGGCACCTCCTGGAAGAGAATGCCAGGTTGTAAATCTCTCTACAATGACAACCTTTTTAGTCAGTTATTCTCAAAACTACATCCTCAAAGTAATTTGGTATTATCAACTGAGTTTATGAGGGAAATTGGCCACTGTGAAGAGTTATAAAGCTGACATTTTGAGTGTTAGCCCTTCATCAGAGCAAATGACACAGGGTTCATGCTCAAAATGTCAGCTTTGAAACTCTTAACAGAGGCCAATTTACATTATCAACTCAGTTGATAATACCAAATTACCTTGCTATACTCTCCCACTGATGCAGTACCTCAGTTTCTTTAGAAACTTACTTACTTTCTTCATTCTCAAAGCTAGATCTGTAAATTATCAATCATGTTTGTCTTTGAAGCTATTTCCTGATTTTAAAACTTTGGCTACTTTTAAGCTTTTATCTGAATTACAAACTACCTGCTTAATGTAAAATTATGCTTTAACTCATGCAATAATAAGTTTTTGAAGGCTGAAGTTATTGTAAAATCTATTCTACTCTTATTAAAAACTATGTACACTTTTTCAACAGCTTGGCCAAACTTTTGAGAGAAGAAGAGCAAAAAGCTGCTGAAGATTTGAAAGCTGTTACAGTTGGTTAGTTCTCAACAGTGTTAAAACTACTTTTTACAATTTAATTTTCTTTCTTCACTCTGCATTGTTCAGAGAATGATAGTTGATTACAAAATTACTCTCAAGAA